GTTTTAACCCCGCAAGTTAAAACGAAGGCCACATACACTATAATTTGGACTCTGGGTGGGCGACTGATGTCATCTTTTGTTTTCCCAACTCAGTTCGACCTTAAAATGCCCATAATGAAAATCATATGTCAAGGGCCCGAATAGATTATACGGTATACAAATTTGATATTTTGACAACCAAGTTTGATTAATTTGTTTTCGTTGATAGATGGATTTAACTTTAAAAGATTTAATAAAGAGATTTTGAGTGTTTTGTACTGTGGTAGTATTATTTTTAAGTTATACGATTTCTATCAGTTTGTTATTCATTGCTACTAAGTATTTTACTGTAAGATAATAAGTTAATTTAAACTATTCGATGTCGAAGGGGTTTCTGTGATTACATGATTTACTATATTTTTCATATTGTACAGGTTGATTCTAAAAGAAATAACAACTTCGATGGCCTAATAATGCTATGTTTTATATCCACCATGTAATCAAATTCGTATATATTTAATATATATCAATATTTGTGTGCGTGTGAGAGTGTGTGTCCATTAGCGCGAATTCGATTTTAATTCAACTTGGTACAAACGTGTAATCCTATGTTTATACGAGTTCGCGAGTAGGTCCGAAATATAAGTTTCTGATGAAATATGCTTACATCTATTTATTAGCGTTAGTTCTTCGTTCTCGATAGTTCTCCAATATTGTTGTTGTTTAGTTCTCGAAAAATAAAAAAAGAAGTACGTTGAACTTTTTATCAGAAAACGGTACACGCTAGAAAGGCTTTATGTGTGAAGTTGACCTAACCACGTTTACTGCCTTATAACTTTATTTTTATTTTTGAGAACTAACAACAATATTGAGGAACTATCGAGAACTAACGGTTGGTATGAACAAAAGTGGAAACGCTAATATGGGTACGTTAACTTCACGTACCTTTCGCGTGCCACTGAGTGAAGATCGAACTATGGGAAAGCGGTTGTATGGAGTAAAAATTTTAATTTCCCATTTTTGACCTAAACATAATATTTTTCTATTTCTTTCCGAACTATTTTGTGTAGCTTAAATACAAACAAATAATTCAGTATATTGCAGCGATGCCCAACAGTTACGGAGGAAATTCCAAAAAAGTGTACATAAACTAAAAAGTCCCATGTTATTATTATGGAGAATAAGTGAACTGTAGTCGTTGCTAATTTATGGATATATTTTAATCGGATTTGACAAATTCGTGTATTTCATACTAAGCTATCAACGTTTAAATAAAAAACGCATACTTTATTACCTTCCCTGTAGCAGTTCCCTAAGTACTCATTAAAATTAATGTTATTTGAATAGGAAATTAATCTGTCAATTATAAGGGATTATTTTAGTGGAAATTCAGTCAGGTAAATGTAAATTCACTTAGTATTTACGTTTGCATGCACCTATAAATTATAGTTTTTTTATAGGGGTCTAGCAACATCAACGGGTCCTAAGTTGAACAGTAGCTGATAAAATTTCTTCAAACTCGAGCGCAAAAAATACTTAATTAAAAGATTAGGTTATTTTCTTCCTAAACCCTAAATTTGAAATCATCACACAATGTTTTCATTGTCGACGACAATCAGTTGTTCAAACTAAACTTGATGCATCTTATCATCTGTTGATACCAACTACATTGGAAAACAACGTAACTATTAGTTTACAAACGTATGCATTTTTTGTGTACTGTTTAAAGCGAATTACCTTGCATAACTAATTGAGAAGGGGGTTCTGGACGTTCTTTGACGCAAATGTAAGTGAAGAGTAAGAGTTTTGAGATGCCTTGATTTGCAGTGTTACACATCAAGATCAGTTGGTTCTTTAGCAATAACTAGTTTAAAGCCACAATCAAGGATTCTGCGTCTAGTTTCGAAACATATATTTTCCTACTTTTCTATTATTAATTATTCTATTATTATTACAAATTCATTTTCCATCTATAGGTTGTCTTTTATGCCGGAATATGCAGCGCGCTGGCTCACACGACGAAATAAAAAAAATGGAAAAACGATCCCCTGCAAAAGTAATCGTTATGTAAAACACGAGATGCAGGGATATGAGAAAATTGGGTGTATCGTTTGGTTTCCTATTCCTGGTCGTGTACGGGCTAGCCTTGACCTAACCGGCGTTTCATCGGGGGTCTTTAATTATACGTCGTATTCGTTTGGGGTCGGAGGTTAAGGAACGATCTCCGACATTTTTGCACACCGGGCGATATGTAATTTGCAATTTCCATATGCTATATGGCCGAGGACGTTATTATAGGGTTTATTCAAGCCAAGCGTTGGCTACTACTATAATATATTGAACAGCCAATAGCCTTGCTTGGTTATCAAGTCGTACCAAGATCAAACTTTCTGATGACTCATGCCTTCATCTGAGGATTGGTTAACATCAGTTCAGGCCATGTTCCTAGGTTAAATGACGTAAGAAGATTATACCTTCTGGTTACTTTTGTATGTGTCCACAGAGAGGTTATCATCAGACTATCAGGCCACGTTTCTAGGTTAAATGACATGAGAAGATTATACTTTCTGGTTACTTCTGTATGTGACCATAGAGAGGTTATCGTCAGACTATCAGGCCATCATGTTTCTAGGTTAAATGACCTTAGAAGCTTATACTTTCTGGTTACTTCTGTATGCGTCCATGGAGAGGTTATCGTCAGAATATCAGGCCATGTTTCTAGGTTAAATGACCAAAAAGATTATACTTTCTGGTTACTTCTGTGTGTGTCCACAGAGAGGTTATCGTCAGACTATCAGGCTATGTTTCTAGGTTAAATGACCTAAGAAGATTATACCTTCTGGTTCATAAATGTATGCGTCCATGGAGAGGTTATCGCCAGACTATCAGGCCATGTTTCTTGGTTAAATGACGTAAGGAGATTATACTTTCTGGTTACTTCTGTATGCGTCCATGGAGAGGTTATCGCCAGACTATCAGGCCATGTTTCTAGGTTAAATGACCTAAGAAGCTTATACTTTCTGGTTACTTCTGTATGCGTCCATGGAGAGGTTATCGTCAGAATATCAGGCCATGTTTCTAGGTTAAATGACCAAAAAGATTATACTTTCTGGTTACTTCTGTGTGTGTCCACAGAGAGGTTATCGTCAGACTATCAGGCTATGTTTCTAGGTTAAATGACCTAAGAAGATTATACCTTCTGGTTCATAAATGTATGCGTCCATGGAAAGGTTATCGTCAGACTATCAGGCCATGTTTCAAGGTTAAATGACAAAAAAGATTATACTTTATAGTTACTTCTGTGTGTGTCTATAGAGTGGTTAGCATAAGACTACCAGACCATGTTTCTAGGTTAAAAAACCTAAGGTTAGTTACCTAAGAAGATTATACCGTACCTTCTGGTTACTTCTGTGTGTGTGGCTATAGAGTGATTAGCATAAGACTATCAGGCCATGTTTCTTGGTTAAATGACAAAGAAGATTATACTTTCTGGTTACTTCTCCATATTACCATAGAGAGATTATCGTCAGACTATCAGGCCATCTTTCTAAGTTAAATTACATAAGATGATTATACTTTCTGGTTACTTCTGTGTGTTTCTATAGAGTGGTTAACATCAGTTCAGGCCATGTTTCTAAGTTAAATGACATTAGAAGATTAGACGTTTTATTTACTTCTGTATCTGTTCATGGTTTGGTTATCACCGTACTTTTTCGCCATGTTTCTGCGGAGCATTCCCCAAATGAAATACCATTTATTTTGTTTGTGATCTACATATCAATATAAAATATACAATATTAAAACACATATTAATATAAGCAATGTTTGCGAACACAATCATTTGAAAAATAGCTTCTAAATTGTTAGAAATATCTTAGTTTTAGACAAAAATAATATATACGCTAAGGCACCTTCTGGAAAATCCTTTTTTTCAAAGTTTTTAAATTGAATTTTAATATTTTTAAATGGTATTACGGGTTGCTATGTTGGTTTTGGATTAACTAGAAAATGTGATCAAAATAATGATAACATATGTTTATAGCGATCCATCTAATCAATAGGATACATATACAGTACTAGCAAATTATAGAATAGTCTACAGTACAAAATAAAATGTCATTCGGATGAATACCATCGATCATATAACCATTGACCACACTAAATGAGTACTGAATAGTTGAGAGGGTTATCAAAGTTATGAGTCGAAATTTGTGTAGTGATAATTCGGACGCATTGGCGTTGGTGGACGAACAATGTAGGCTTCAAGAGGAGCGTTGTCGAGCCAGTCATCTCTCTCCCGTTAAACTATTAAATCCTGTACGAGAAAAAATCAACCCAATGATAATCATTAATAGATAATTGAATTAATAATAATGTAAATTAAAGATGTCTACGAAATTTAAGAACCGGTTTGATAACACATATTCCTCTAGAGGTAGAGGAAACTTTTAGTGCCAGAGGTCAATTGTTTATTATAATTATTTATTATTTTGTTAGTTGATTTGCTATCAAGTTACACTTTATGTATATATATATATATATATATGTTAGACATCTCGTCATAACTATAGTAACTATGTAAAAATGAATTACAACATGTGTTCTATCTCGAACCATTTACCCTTATGTCTGTGTGTATGTGTTATTTACAAACTCATTCATACCTTACTCCTTGATAAATTGAGCATTGAAATTCGGCTAAAATATATCTTTCTAGCCACTAATTTTATACAAAATATGAAAAAAACCTTTGAACCTTTGCAAAATTGCAGCTTTTAAAAATATATAAGCCGTATTATAAAAAACTTCAATTTTACAAAAAATTAAGGATACATAAAGTTTATGCAAATTTCAACGATATCTTATAAGCTTAATTGGGACAAACATTAACTGACAATTTTTTTCTTGCCATACCTACAGTTTTCTCCATTTAAAATATATTTAAAAGGAGTTTTAACGATTTAACTATAATTATTTGTGTATTATTTTGACTAATCTCCAGAATGTTGTTTGTGATGTAGGCAGAGAAGTCCCATGGAAGTTGTCGTCCATGTTGCTGTCAATGGTCCCCCCCTTCGCCCCCATCCACAGCAATAACACGCTCTGTAGGGAACACAGCAAGACCTATCTACAGCAACTGGATAACTTCGAAATGTGGGCTCTGAAAAGTAAGTACAACGGTAGTTTTTCAACTGATGTCTTAACATTCTGTGGAATTGCAAAGCAGCTTTTTAGCTTACTGTGCATCCCCGATCAGTAATGAACCCCGAAAGTTTCCTCACATTCTTCCTTGGCCATCCCCATGGTCTTGTCTCCTCAAGCTATCTAAAGGGATCACCCAACAAAGGTTGGCATTTAAACAACATGTGGAAAGGGTTGAGTGTATGGTACTTAGAATCCATTTGGATTGTGGCCAGCAGCAGTTCATTCCAGAGAGGTATCTCTTTTTTTCTGTGACTGGAGCCACAGAGAAGTAAGGTACAGAGGAATCACTCAATAGTACACCTAAGTGGTGTCCAGCACTAGTCCCTGGTGGCTAGGGCAAAGTCCAACACTCATTAAGGTTGAGATAAATTAATATGAATCTCTTGTTTAGGTAAAAATAATAAATGAAAAGATTTAGAATCAAACAAAATTAATTGTATATCTACTTTAAACATGCTATGCAATGCAGGGAGTCAAAATAGTTTCAAAATTATATATTGACATAGTATCATACAGTTCCAAACAACAGGGGTCATGAACAATGTTTTTAACAACAGGGTGATTAGATGGAGGAGTCATAATACATGCGTAGTAGTTTAACATTGCAAATACAGGTAGGAAAACTAAAAGGGTAATATTATATGATTAATAGTCAAAATCTTAATCTTATATGTAAACTATCAAATCTTAATCTTCGAGAGTGACCATGTCTCCAAGTGGCCAGTATTTTCACCACTGCATCCTCTCGAAGACAAAGGTTTGACAGATAGGATAAGAAAACTTTCTCTAATCCACTTTTGACATTTTTAGTGTTTGACGCAAACGCCAAACTACCTTCAGGGCTCCTAAACGGCAACATAAACCAACTTGGGGACTTTGACCAGTGCTTGAGGTCGCAGCAGCCAGGAGGGGTGATCAGAGGGCAATACTGCCTGGCGTACATTGAGGTGAAGCTGCGGCCAGGGATGTCCCAGGGAGGGATGGTGTCTGTGCTGCATAATCTCGTACACTCCCACAACGCTTTCCGCAGCAATCTAGAAGATGTATGTAAACTTAAGTGTAGAAAATTAGAGCAAGCACTGTTTTTACATCACAGTTACTTTTAGGTCTGACAAAAACCTAGTTTTTTCTTAAAGTATTTTCATAACAGCAGCAAATTTTTGTAGAGGGGCAAACCAGTATCTTGTTCCAGAGGAAAAGAACAAAAACAATTTTTATAAACATTTAAATATATGTTTGGGCTCTCCAAAAACCAGAATTATTTTTCAGAAACGTTTGATTATTGAAACGTTACATGGCGAAGCCGGTGAAGCTGGTGGACGACTGGGGCGCTTGGATAGATGGTCTCAAACAGGTGGGGGTTAATGACACTATCTGTGGTTGGTTGGATTTAAGGGTTATGAATTGTCAACCTTGGTAGCAATTTATTGAATGAAATAAATATGGTGCATCACTGTTGCCAATCTACATATCTAAATTTAAAACATTATATTATCCATCTATGCACTTCATACAATTAGGGTTTTCTCTGTTACATCCCTTTTTCAGCCGTCCTACTTATTTTTACAATTGAGGTGTCATTGTAAAGCTCATGCATGATCAAGCAGAGTGACAATGGTAAATAAAAAAAATGTTTCTCTTAGGGCTTTGCCCCCTACCGCTTTATTTTTTTTTTTAGTTTGCTTTAAAAGATTCAGTGATGCTGACTAACAATATAACAATTACAACAATTTAAATGTGAATTTAAATCAGAACAGCTGATCTTTCAGTTCATTGTTAAATATCTGTCAAATTGTAAACAGTTCATGAAAATCAGTTTCAAGTACGATACTTTTATAGCCATAACCTGGTTGAGGTAGGTAAATCTTCATGTTTTAGATATAAATGCAACAAATTTAATTTATTGTAAATTAGTAGTTTTATCCAACTAATATCAGTCTCAAACAAACATAATTTTTGAAAAGTGAAAGGGTACCGTATTGCATTATTTCTTTTGCCTCAGAATCAAACCCTATGACAACATGCAATTTTTGCACTGGTTCCCTCGTATTTATTTATTATAAGCTTGCTTTGTTCCTAAACAGTGAATCTGTCTATGCTTGTAATTTGGCTTGCGTAAAAAAACACACCGTATATCTAAGGCCTCTAATCTTGATCATTCTTTGTATGTAGCCTGGTCATCGAGTTCCAAGGTTCTCTTCAGTCAACTGGGCAGTCTGCGTACCTGCCTCGTGCCCTCCCGAGGAAGTGGAACAAGCTCTCGCCTCAACTGTGGACCACTTCCTGTCGTCTCCCGAGCTAATCATCAGGGTGCGTGTGGACCCCTCCATGTGTCAGGTCCAAAGTGACTCCATCATCCCTCCTCCAGCATCACTCATGGCCATGTATGACTATGTTTCATTGCAAGCTATTTATACTCATATACGTAGAAATGGATTTTGCTAAGACAAAGCTTCTCGAGCGGAGACTCTTTGATATAAATTTCTAACCTTTTGATCTGAAAACAACATACTGTGGCAAAATTCGGATCATCTCCCCCGGGCGTGTGGATATCATTGTCGTCTTCCCGGTCGTGTAGACATCATAATCATATCCCCCTATCACAGAAAAATTTGACAATTTTCCGCGTCGAATCAATTTAATCAATTCAGACATGTCATATTGCCTCCCACGGTCACGGCAAAATATTAAATGAATATTCCCCGTGAAACGGAAACATCACGATTGGGGCAAAATTCGGATCATCTCCCACGGCCAAGCAGACATTCACCCTCATCGTCTCCGGTGGTCACAAAAATGTTATGGTCATATTCCGCGATCGTGGCAAAATTCTGATCATCTCCTGCGGTCGTGTGGTCATTATCGTTGTCTTCCGCGATCGCAGCAAAAATCGGATCAACTCCTGCGATCGAGTAGACATCATTGTCGTCTTTGCGGCCGTGAAGACATCATCGCCTTTTTGCACGATCGTGGCAAAAGCGGTAATTTTCTGATTGCACGATTTTCTCAAAAGTGTCTGGTATCAGTATCGGAGTCGACTTTTGATGATCGATTCTCAACAGCGATAAGTTACCAATGTCCAATGTGTGTATCGGTGGTATCGAGAATTGGTATCAAGAAACAACACATCACTAATATAAAAAAAATTCCTGGGGGGGGGGCCTGGCCCCCTTGTGTCGGGAAACGGAGCGAGTGCCATTCTATTCTTTGCCGTGGGGATTATTAACTGTCAAAACCGTCAGATAGGTTAAGTGCCGTTTGACTCCCCAGAGCGTAAGAGTGATTCAGGGGAGGGGGTATTAGTGGAAGGTGGAAGGGGATGTAGTGGGCAGGATGTAAAGGAGACCGGGTACAATTTCTTAACTGTGCTACCCTAATATCGATTGAAAATTAATATCGATTCGATCAGTAAACCTTCATTCAATTTTTTCATAATCAGCTAATTTGGTTAGGTTATAACAGTTTCATTTTATCCTTAAAACAAATTTTGCTCATCCCCCCCCCCTCACGGGTCTACCTTTCCACTCCCATTCCGGGCGCACCGTGGAACCGGTACCTGGTCACTGATACCTATACCTGGCCGGCACTCGCCTCGCCAAGCCTCAGGCTGTAAAATGACCCTTGTCAAAGTGTTTAGACAAACGGCACTTGGACCTGCACTCCCTTGTGCCCTCCCTGGATACACCACTGCCTCAGGGCCTGGGAACAGCCTTCCCATTTTGCTTTTTCCAATTGTCCTATTTTGATCCTTTATGCTAGTAGGTTCTAAGACGATAGTGAGTGTTTCCACACTGGACATTTCACAATTGCTGCTCAGGGCATGCATATTTTTCATCTGATAATTTTATAATATAAAATCCAAATTTGGATAAAATATCCACAATAACAAAAAAATAATAACATCATATTTCTTATCATAGTGTTTGAATAAAACCTATTTTTGAATAATACTTGTAATAACGTGTGAGTTGATTATCCAACTGTACGTCGTGTTATAAAATCCTTTTTTCTTATTCTCACATTAATGCATTTGTATATTTTAAATTTTTACATGATAACATATCTTTATTCTGAAACAAAGAACATAACAGTAGGCTAGCTAAAAACCCTGAGGGTGACGAAACCTTTGAAAGAAAAGAAGAGTTGCCAGGAGATTTAGGATTAGTTTGGGACAAAATGAGTTCCAATCTCGAAGATCTTGTGTTGTGTTGAATGGTTAAATGGAGAGCTCTGCAGATGAAAAAAACCTGGATTAAACACTAACATCAGAATGTTGATTGTTGACAGAGGGTTTTTCCTGGGTATCATGGGAGTGATAGTTACAGCCACCATCACTGACTACCTCATCCAAGACAAGCGACACGTCAGTGAGTATTCCATATTCCACATCAATTGAGACTCAACAAATTCAAAACCTAAACTGAAAAGAACAGCCTTATAATTAATTGTTTGGACTAAATTTTCAAAATGTAAAATGCCTAGTATGACATAACTTGTGGTTGTGCATTGGGGCTTTTAAAATATTTATTTGTAAAAGGAACGTTTTTAGAATATTGGTCTTCAAAAGATGAAGACGATATTGAAAGAGAGACAGGGTTATATGGCCAGTAGTGTTGGCCCAAGTTAAAGATACATACAGAAATCCATCCTTGGGTAGAGTTACAATTTAACTGTAAGGGGTTCATTACAGGATATATTAACATAAATGTATATGCGAATTACAAATACTACCTAAAAAGAAGGAAAGAATACACAACTAACAAGAAAAGAGTTCCAGGTAGTTGAAAGCACAAAAAAGTCCACGACATAATAAACTTGATATATTGCTCCTACAAGAGGCTACTTCAGAATAAAGAAAAGGACAGATTCTACATTCTACTTCTTTCTTCTGAAGAGGTCCTTTGTAGGGAACTCCTTTCTTACATTCGTTAGTTCTGTTTCCATTCCTTCTTCCTGTATTCCTAAACCAAGTGCTTTTTAAAATTCAAATACTAATTTTAATAAAAATTAACATATCTTAAGAAAGGTGGAAAAAGGTTCCTTGGAACAAACTGCCTTGTTGACTAAGATATCTTTTGATCGGGCTTTTTCATTTAAAATGTTTTTGCCAAAAAATTTAAGTATTTTTACTAGTCCCTGTTTACCAAGACAATATTGGTTCCAGCACGCGCCATGGAGGTTCTCCTAGCGTTCTCACTACTGTCCAACAGTCGTAAGCTGCTCTCCCTCTCTGAATCCCCAGAAGACATCCACTGTGTTCACGGGATCAGAGCCTTGAACGCCTTCATGCTCCTCATGTCCCACAAATCCATGGCTCTCTTCTTCAACCCCTTTGTGAATCGAACAGCCATGGCTGAGGTACTTTTTTGAATATAAAAATTCTAGGTAAGACAAGTCCTTACAGTTTAAAAGATCTTCACATATTGTATGAGATTTGGTAAATTGGGGGTGCTATACTTTGGGACTGGAAGATTTTCTGATCACCAGTGATTTTATCACCTTAAGAAAAGTTGTTAGACAGTATAATGACTTATGATGGGATCCAGGTACAAGTTTATCTAAAAGAAGACATAAAATATACTAGAGAGGCTCGATTTACCAAACTTAACTACTGTAACCCTAGAAGGTTATAATACTATGGTAATTACTAAATAACCATTGAAACATATTAAATTAATAATATTTCTGTTTCTCCATTAACAATCTCTACCAAAATGATTGGTTTCAGGTTCTGGGCAAACCTTGGACAGTTATTGCTCGGGCTGCCAGTCTTTACACAGACCCTTTCATCATGATCAGTGGTCTTCTCACCACTTACAGTCTTCTTAGACATCTTGCCCGCAAACGATCCATTGATGTGCGCAAGGAGTACCTCTCTCGATTGCTTCGGTAATGTCTTTCTCAGAGCTGGCCTTAGGCACATGTAAAAGGTGCACAGGGCCCCGCACCTTGGAGGGCCCTGCTATTGGTAAAAAATACAACAGAACATTGTAAAAACTCCTTGAATTTAAACCAATTTTGAAAACAGGGTGGAGTATAATATAATTTATGCATTGCAATTTTTTATACTTAGTATTGTTGGGATATTACTTCATTGGTAGTCAGGGGCCCCGCTCTGAATGTTTGCACTTGGCCCCGCTCCACCTCAGGTATTACTACTATAGTCATGGATAGGTTTGCACCTGTATTCACATTTTGTACTGCTAACTGTGTTGATTTTGAAAGTGCTCAATCATTTACCAAAAATTAAATCATCAGCGATCCATAATGTTTCATGAGGGGTAAAAGCCCCCAGACCACCTATAAAATCCCAATGATAAAGCTGGGTCCCGCAACACCAGGTTCATAAAGATTGGACCCCCCCTAGGTATCTTTCTCATTACGTGGCATCCCTAGGTTAGTTTGATTTGTTATCGAATTGAGTGCACTTTTAAAAACTAGTTTCAATTGATGAATCAACTTGGTTAAACATCTAGAGTCATTAAATGAGATGCAAAATATAAATAAGAAAAAATAATGCTTGATCACTTATAGTGTTAATATTATCATACCATTATATTGGGACGGTTACTCAGTGCATATTTTAACTTGAATATGAGTGTACAATGGTGTGAAATTCCTTTTGTACATTACAGACTAATACCAGCCATTAAATAGCCAGGACAATTCATTAAAATTTCAATAATAAAGGTCAGCTGGGAAAAGTTTTGTACGTCCATGAAAGATACTGACTTTTCTCAGGATCGAACCAGCTACATTCTTATAACTATGAGCACTATCAAATCTATGCAGCTAAATAAAATTAAAAAAACGCTGTTTGTTTGTAGGTTCCCTGTTTCTGATAAGACCAAGTAACAGTTTCATTTGGTTTGTTGAAAATATGGTTTACAAATGTTTACAGTCTGGTCCCTACCCTTGGAGCCCTCATCTTGTTCTGCACATTTGTGATGCCAATCCTCGGTTCTGGACCTCAATGGAATTTGGTGGTCCGTCATCACGCTGAGGTTTGCAAGACCACGTGGTGGCGCAACCTCTTATTTATCCATAACTACTTCGGATTCAAAAACATGGTGAGTGTGGAAGCCCACAAAATGATGTTATCATACAGAAACCGCTTCGGTGATAAACCAATCTATGGTTTAATGTCTAATAACAAAGGAAAAAACCTTTGAGCTCTCTTGCCTTTTCCAGATGACACAATGATTCAACAATTCTAGAAACTACAGCTTTCTCTAGTTAACCTTTTTGTAAACTAAGGAAACCAGATAATCAGTTGATATTTCTTGACTGACTAGTCAATTCAATTTATTTCTCAGTACTTTTAGACAGTAAACAACAATACTCAAGAGAGAAATATAAATTTAAATAAATTATATGCCGATGGTTTTGACTTTTGGATGGAATACAGTCATGGAGTTTTATTGTTGAGTGCTTGAAATGGTGTACACTTTATTAGAGTAACATTAATGTTACTCATTTCATTTGATAAAATCTGTCCAAATTTACTTGATTTTCCACTGAACCATTGAAACGTACCCACCACATTGGTATTGTAAGAAAACATAGGTGTTCATCTATGTAGACACTCTGTTACTCATTTCTGTTCATTCTCACTGGACACAAAGTTGTTTACTATATCTCCATTGCTGGTGTGGCTACTTTGGAGATGGCCCCCACCAGGGATTACTCTCTCTCACTCTCTCTCTCTAATTTCTGTTTGCAGTGTTTGACACATACACACCACATTGGTATAGACACACAGTTGTTTGCTATATCTCCATTGCTGGTGTGGCTACAGTGGAGATGGCCCCCGCCAGGGATTACTCTCTCTCACTCTATCTCTCTAATCTCTGTTTGCAGTGTTTGACACATACACACCACATTGGTATAGACACACAGTTGTTTGCTATATCTCCATTGCTGGTGTGGCTACTGTGGAGATGGCCCCCGCCAGGGCTTACTCTCTCTCACTCTATCTCTCTAATCTCTGTTTTGTTTGCAGTGTTTGACACATACACACCACATTGGTATAGACACACAGTTGTTTGCTATATCTCCATTGCTGGTGTGGCTACTGTGGAGATGGCCCCCGCCAGGGCTTACTCTCTCTCACTCTATCTCTCTAATCTCTGTTTTGTTTGCAGTGTTTGACACATACACACCACATTGGTATAGACACACAGTTGTTTGCTATATCTCCATTGCTGGTGTGGCTACTGTGGAGATGGCCCCCGCCAGGGCTTACTCTCTCTCACTCTATCTCTCTAATCTCTGTTTTGTTTGCAGTGTTTGACACATACACACCACATTGGTATAGACACACAGTTGTTTGCTATATCTCCATTGCTGGTGTGGCTACTGTGGAGATGGCCCCGCCAGGGATTACTCTCCCTTTTCCTTCTTGGCTCAATATCCACAATGCTGCGCTTCTACACCAGCTACATCCGCCATCTCAATCTCTTTGTTTATTTTGGTAATCCGTAAGTATTAACTAGAATTCTATTTCTTACTACGAGGGCTATCCAGAAAGTAGATTACGTTTTTGTCTTTATCCGCTAGGGGCGGGGCTAGCGCGACAATCTTGGTATCAGTTCGTTATGTAGCTCAGTCAGCATCTAACCATGCTAGTAAGAGGTTGCTGCATAGACCGTTGAGTTGCCGTGACAGTTTTAAATGTCTGTGCTAATTGAAAATGCCGCGATCTGTGAAGTGCGTCAGTTATAAGGTTTTTTACTGCAAAAAACTGTAAACCGATAGAAATCTATCGGTGACTTTGTGAAGTGTATGGGGAAAACAATATTACTGAAGGTGGAGTGCGACAGTGGGTCATCAAATTTAAAAATGGCCGACCTAACGTTCACGATGAAGAGCGAAGTGGAAGACCCAGCATTGTGACTGCTGAACTTGTCGAAAAAGTCGGCGCCGAAGTTCGTAAAACTCGAAAATTCACAATAACGGAACTCTCTATGGGTTTTCCACAAATTTTGTGAAGTTTGTTGCACGAGATCATAACCGAAAAGCTTGGTTACCACAAGTTTTGTGTAAGATGGGTGCCGAAAATCTTGACAGACAGTCACAAAAATCAACGAATGGCTGTAGCACTAACGTTTCTGGACACTTACGATAAAGATGGTGACTCACTACTCGATCGCATCATTACTGGTGACGAAACATGGGTCAAACATGTGAACTGCTAGACGAAATTGCAGTCAATGCAGTGGGGGTACACAGATTCCCCCAACCCAAGAAATGCATGCAAACGATGTCGGCAAGGAAGGTGATGGCGACTGTTTTTTGGGAGGGAAGGTATAATTTGAAAGAGGCACTACAATAAACTCTCAAAGGTATTGCCAAACCCTGCAAAACCTTAGAAGAGCGATACAAAACAAGCGCACGGGAAAGTTAAGCTCAAAGATCCTGTTGATTCACGAAAACGCCCGGCCCCACACGGCAAATGCCACTCGCGAAGTTCTTGAATCTTTTAAGTGGGAGTTGTTTCCTCATCCGCTGTACAGCCCGACCTGGCACCGAGTGACTTTCACTTATTCCCAGCAATGAAGAAGAGGCTGGCTATGCAGCGTTTTGATGACGACGCACATAGCTACAAAAAGAGGTAACTAAGTGGTTGAAGACGCAGGCGGCTAATTTCTACGACAAGGGAATTTCTAAGCTTGTTCATCGCTACGACAAGTGCCTTAATTTGAAAGGTGATTACTGATTATGTTGGAAATTAGGGTTTAAGTGTGGCTTTCAATTGTATATAATAAAATATTTTTCCAAGACTTTGTTTATCCTTAATTCCAAAACGTAATCTACTTTCTGGATAGCCCTCGTATTAACATTACCCTATTAGAAATTTTCAGTTTGTACTTCAGTGATTTTGATTTTTTTTTTAATACAGCAATAATCTATATTCTAAGAAAGATAATGTTATATACATTAAACTGTAATATCTTTCAAATTTTGCCTGGAACGTTTATGAAAATTGCCCATAAAACTATAGTGTTTAATTTACACAAATTACTTGCAGTGCTAAAGGCTGTTTCAATTTTTCCTATTAGTTGGATTACTATATTTTGGCGAGTAATAAAAGCTATTTGATATTTTGGTCACAACAGTTCAGTGTTTTATGACCAGTAGGTATGTTTAATGGATGAAAACCCACAGTCTCATTGGGTAAATAATCCATATCTCGGTTAATCCACAGAGTATTAAATTAATGTAAAACGATGAAACTTAAGAGACAAAGGAAAAGCTAGTTTCCTCTTCTACATTAGCACCTCAAAAGTCTAAGATCTAAGAAGGTAATCAAAATTTATTAAACTTAATGACAAAACTTAGACATTTCATACATGTTTTTATTATTATAATTGTATTGTTATTGTTGCTGGTATTTTTTTCAAATTTTATTTTTCAATTATCCTTGTACTTGTCAAACAAACTATTTCCATTAACACAGAAGTTATGAGCATAATTAACTACCTCAGTTATGTTATAGCTACTATACTTGATTTTGCCTTAAATTTGTCTCACGCAGATACTTCTAAATGGTGGTTTCTCATCTTTTGCAGCGTATCACAGATGTTTGATACAGCCGATTATTCATACATTCTTCCAAGTCATCGTTTTACAGTTTACGCCATGGGAGTCAGCTTGGGTTATGGACTATGGCATTGGGGAACTGACTTCAAACTTAAAACTGTGAGTAATTTCTCAAATTTGGAATGGATAAAAAACAAAAGTCAGTTTTGGAAAAGTAAAGGGTGTCCCAATAAGAACGCCGGATTTGAAACGTTAACAAACCATATATTTTCACGCTAAATTTACAATATGATACATGAATCTTAAAGTATAGTATCTCCGATTAGTAATGGTATATTATGTCTTGTAAGTGCCCACCTGCTGCTTGCTGACAAGCCCGACATCTCTTGACAAAGTTTTCCATAACTTTTTCACACACTTCCTGTTGAATTCCATTAATCGCACGAATAATTTCCTCCTTCAGGTCTTGGATTGTTTGAGGATTATTGGCGAAAACAAGCGACTTTAAATATCCCCAAAGAAAGTAGTCACACGGTGTTAAATCGCACGATCTTGCTGGCCAGTTCCGATCACCATGTTTCGAAATTACACGTCCTGGGAATCGTTCGTGCAACAAATTAATTGAATCTCTAGAAGTATGGCATGTTGCGCCGTCCTGTTGAAACCACATGTTTTCCAGGTCCATCTCCTCAAGCTCAGGCCAGAGAAACTCTCGTATCATTTCCCTGTAACGTTCACCATTTACAGTCAAAGCATTTTCATCCTCGTTTTCAAAGAAGTATGGACCAATGACTCCATTTGACCAAAACCCACACCAAACTGTAACACGCGGAGGATATAACGGGTTTTCTGCAATGAGGCGAGGATTTTCAGTTCCCCAAATTCTACAGTTTTGCTTATTTACATAACCGCTTAGATGAAAGTGTGCTTCATCACTGAACAGCAAAGTTTTTGAAAACGCGTCATTTTCATCTTGATTGCCCACCACCCAGTTTACAAATTCAAGCCGTTTTACGGGATCTCTTGGCTTGATTTCTTGTGTTAGTTGAATTTTGTAAGGGAACATGTGAAGGTCTTTTACCAAAATTCTTTGTACTGTGCTCCGAGCTAGGCCTAACTGCTGACTTCACCGACGAATCGATTTTCTTGCGTCGTCCTCTACACTATCATGTACAGCCTCAATATTTTCAAGGGAGCGTCCTGACCGACTGCGCACTGGTCTTTTAATGTCCAAAACTGAGCCAGATTCTTCGAACTTAGAAATCAATCTTCGGACAGATGACTCATTTGGTGCATTGTCCCGGCCGAAAATAATGCGCAGCTTCCGCACCGTTTCAGCGAAACATTCCCCGTACTTGTAGTGCACTTTAACCATAACCACGCGTTGATCCGTCGTGTAGCGATTCATGACTACAAATGGGACCTAATACTGATAACATCGCTGATAGTTAGGGAATTCCTATTGAAATACAGATAAGGATAAGACGCTCCTGAAATCCGGCGTTCTTATTGGGACACCCTTTAGGTTTTAAAACTTAGTATTGAAATGTTCCACCATCTCAGCAAGGTATGTTAACAACACTTTGGAAAACAGTAATCTAAAAGTTAAAAAAAAATTTTGAAAACTTTTTTAAAAAGTTTACAATCTGTTGCGAACTGGTCAGGCTCGCGAGCCTTGAAAGGGATTTTTCAGGAAATTTTACCGGGATCCGTATTCGCAAAAGGCCCACCTGCCACACCCCTATCATAACAATATTTATATATGAATATTACCATACATTTTGTATGAAGAAAATTTGTTAAAACCAGTTAGATCGCTAGGACAAGTAGTTCACAACAGCTAAACTGACAATACTTGACGAATCGATAGAAATTCTCTACTAACCTAAGTCAAAAATGATCTGCAGTCATGCGGGTTGCATCTACTGCCCTCAAGGCCTGAGTGAAGGCGCTATAATAGGCCAGTATTTAGAATCGATGTGGCCCACGGTGGGTCAAACGAGAAAGGCTATGATGATTCAACTGATTGAACTCGACCATTTATTTTACGATCAAATCGGTGAATAAACCTAAGAGGCTGGAACGCTAGCTAGTAAACAATTCTTTCACTCATACTATTAGGGAACTGTGGACCAGATTTGTTTACTTCGAGTCACGTAAAAAAATTTTAACTTAGGGTCCCAAATCAGGTCTTTCAAAATTTGGTTTGCTTTGGAAAGTATTGATTTTTAATAGAAAATATAGATTTTCCAGCCCAGCCGAGCCTGGCCTACAAGATTGAGAGATCTAGCTCAATGTCTGAAATTCGAGCTCAAGTCAGCTTTTACGACTGCGATAATATTGCGACCTCAGAACGCGTCTGCGAGGATAACGCGATTGAAAGATTAACACTTTTGCCGCAATCGCGAATGATGACAAGAACATACCCTTCAGATGACGATGTCTCCGCGGCGGCGGGAGATGTTCAGCGTTATATTTTTGCCCCAATTGCGGGGGACGCTAATGACGTCCACACGACCGTAAGAGACGTTCAGGATTTTGCTGCCATAGTGGAAGACAATATTGATGTTTCCGTGACCGTGCGAATATCAATATTTTGACGCTATCGCATCAGACGATGATGATATTTCTTTTTCGGGGGATATATTAAAAATGTTGCCGCTTTTGCAAAAACAGATGTTTCTGTCACAGCAGGAGATGTTAAGGTCTTTAGCCACGATCGGGGGAGACAAAGATATTGTCTACACGACCGCAGGAGATGACCTGGATTTGGTTACAATCACAGTAGACGTTGATATTTCCATGACCACATAAAGTATTCATGATTTTTCTGCGATCATGGCAGATAATGCTGACGCCTCAGTGTCTCGGCAGATGCCGTGCTAAACCCAAGTGTAAGCTTATGAGGAAATAGCTGTGATAATGTTTTTAAAGATTATTGGGAGATGGGGGCCTGGTGGACAAACTTGCAGGGGGGCCCGAGGGTTGCTATCGCCGCCACTGTTTACAACACACGAGTAAGAACATAATATAGATCCTTGTTTGTCTATGTTTCTCACGTCACCATTTTATTTGAGTGCTTTTATTTTTTAATAGAGAGTTAGAGGCCTATTTTAAATATTGAATTTGTACACCCTCTCTAGTCTTAGTAAATGGGAGCGAGCTAGTCTAGTGGCAGAACATGTGGCTTCAAAGACCGAGGTAAAGAAATACAGTTGATATGTTCCTATATTTTATAGTACGGCATTATTCCCTCATAAAAATCTAAATTTTATTTTAATAACCATATTTTTACAGAGCCAATTGACCCTGGGATGGTTTATTGCAATCTGCATGCTCTACCAATCGATCGTAAGCCCCGCAAAGATGGGAGACCGTAACTACGTATACAACAGACTTGACGCAGCCAATTACGCAGCATTCGCTCCAATCACATGGTGTCTGTTCTTTGGTTGGATAATATTCACATCACACACCGGAAATGGAGGTATTCTCTTGGGAATGTATGAGGGCGGTTTTTTAAGTAAGCGTCAATTTTGTGTATTAATCCATAGTTTACGTTCACGCCGCAATGAGGCTCATCACCATTTACTGGCAACATTTGTGAACAGAATGACACAAATTTCAGCTCTGTAGCTGTCATGTATCCTTCGCTGTTTGATTTTACAACTTTTTAAACAATTAAATCTCCCGCCGTGTCCGAGGTAAGGTCAGTGATACGGTTTTTTATTACATATAGCGTATCTGATGCCAACATTCATGACCAGATGCAAAGATAACAAGGAAAGTGCAAAAATAGGCAAGGGAGTTTAAAAATGGCTGTGAAAATGCTCATTTCAGTAGGAATTGTGGTTGGGTGCCCAGACTTATCAAAGAAGACCACTAAGAAAAATGGATTTCAGGGCCATTTTTACCCTCCGTAACTCATTTCCGCACTTTATCCTCACTCATTGCAATAGAGAAATACTTCTTCAGACATTTGTTGATGAATGTCAGCTTTGGATACGTTTCTTTTAATCAAAAATGTATCACTGACCTTACCTTTTTTGATTTGAGATTTGCCAGTAAATGATGATGAGCTTCGTTACGTTGTACAAGTGAACTACGGATTTATACACAAAACTGGCCCTTACTTAAAAAACCACCCTCGTATATATAGAAGGATGCCTAGCTACAGTAGACTCCCTCTTATCCAGATTACTCGGGGCCGAGACCATTCCGGATAACGCTTTTTCCAGTTAAACTGAAGTCCCCTACAACTCCTTAAATAAGAACGTCTAATGCATTGTATAAACCAATGATGATTATTTCATAAAAATAGTAAAACTAGACACTTCGGGATGATTACTGTAAACACAAAACACCAGATTATGTCAAGACTTTGTCCCTTTAAAATCTACCGTACCACCAACTTCTTCTTGTTCCAGTCTGGTTGAACCTCACCGTTTGGTCAGCAAATAAAAAATTGTCTGGTGAAAGAGGTGTCTCTTCTGCCGAGTGTAGTCCGGTTTAAAGGTATCTGGGTAAGAGGGAGTCTACTGTATTTGGTTAGCCCTTGTATTTAGTTTCACCGTGTTTTTCATTGGCCCAAATAAATGAATATTAATGCAGTATATCAATAGTTTGTTTTATAGGTTGAAAAAGAATGTCATATCCAATGGAGATTACAAATCTCGGTATCTTGGTAGATCTGAATTGTGACAAGTAAAAAGGTCATCCTTCATTTATAACCTTTCAAAACTTTAAAAATATCTTCTTCCCTCCTGCTGTCAGCTGCTCAGTTATATATTTTTATTTACAAGAGCTCTTTGTAAAGAAAGATTTAAATCACTTAACCACTTTGAATGTCACAAGGATGGTAAATTTTGCATACTTTGCACAAAATGTTTGGGATCTTTACAGCATAATTTTAAAATTTTGGGACAGTTGATAATTTTTTTAACAACAGGTGAAAATTAACTATGAAAATTTTTGTCAACAAGAATTTCAAAGCTAGGAACTTACACTTAGTTGTCATCTAAACAGACAAATAAATACAAAATAAAGGATTTAGAAAACCTTTGTAATAATGAGACGAGGTTTTGATTACACAAAGTTCTGGTTCGTCTCTATTTTATAAAATACTAAAAAGTTTTGATGTGTTAGGATTTTATTGTTTTTTTTTCATGTTTCAGGGTTCCTATCAAGAGTCCTTTCATGGAAAGGTTTCCAAGTGTTTACTAGGATTTCCTATTCCTTTTACTTGACACAGTTTCCAGTGTTTTTCTTCAACGTTGGTCAGACACGTACACCAGAATATTACTCTATTACTTCTCTGGTAATATCTTTATAAAATTATTTTAATGCTATATTTAATCATAATACTGTATATAAAAATAAAACTATTTAAAATTACTATTCATCCACATTTGGTTGGCCTATGTTTAAGTGATTTCTGAGACAGTACAAGTAGTGTGATTCATTTTTTTATAGTTGTCTTTCTGTGACCCTTTATTATTTTGCTTCTGATCATCTAATCGTTCTCAAGTTTTAACCAGGGTTTATTTTGTAAAAGATTTGTTAAGGTTTAGTTAATGCCCCTCAGGTAGCAGTACAAATCTTACTGTTACAATTGAAATAAAATAACTGATCATATTAGCCAAGCCAATAACCATAACTTAAGTAAAGGAGTCTAACGACCTCATTAGACTGAAACTCAACAAAAGATATTATAGTACATTTTTGATAGAGCTAGGGGACTAGTGATATCTGGGGTCTGTTTCATAAAACCCATGTAATACAGGGACTTTTAAATTAAATTTACAATCCTGTAAAATTATGTTTCATAAAAATACTTTTGGTCTTGTAAAATCACCTGTAATATTTACCTGCATTTTTTGTTCCTGTATTCTAACTCACAGCCAAGGGCGTACCCAGGATAAAAACTAGGGGGGGCAAGAGTGTACTTGAAACTTGATACAGGGGTCGCTGGGGGCCTGGAGGGTATGGAATACCCTTCACTCTGAGGGCGGGTCCGGGGGGGTTCTCCCCTGGGAAAATGTTAAAAACAATATGCTGATATTAGCGTTTTTCACGCTATTTTGAGACATTAATATAACAAACCTAGCTCGATAATCCAGCCTTTATAAAGTGGCTTTATGTCCATCAATGGGGTCAGGTCAGGTTGCTTAGCTTTACAATAACTTGTATTTTGTGTCCATCTAACTTTTTACATCCATTTAACTTATAACACCCGAAATGTATGGTAAACTATTTTGAAGAATGCCTGATGACTTATGCCGTAAGAGCAATTTTGTTCGTTAAGCCTACATTATTGTTGAAGGCAAATTAAATAGTTATTTGTGCAACTAGTGAGCAAAGGGAGCAATTGGCTCACTCGAGAGAAATACTTACTCACGAGCCGTAGGCGAGTGAGGAATGGTTTCTCGAGTGAGGCAATTGCACTTTGCACTCGAGTTGCACATTATATTTTTCCTACAGTTACCATAAAATAAATGAATTGGTAAAGAAACGTGACATATTTTTACACAGAAGTGAACTTTTAATATGACATTTAATGATACAACAGTACAACAGCTGACCAGCTGATTTACAGCCAGTGCTGCCAACGTATTTCGCGCGCATACGATCTTGTCTGCACGCTCACTATTTCGTGCCTTCACGTTGCAAATCTGGAATGAGACAAAGTAATTAGAGTGAGACAATGTTAACATTGTCTCACTGATGAGCGAATTGGCCACTCTGCTTTCTCAAATCAGTGAGAGAACATGTACATTGTTAGGTAACTGTAGGAAAACAAAATAATGTCACAAAAAATAGGTTTATGTCAATTCATTATACTACACATAATACTAACATTTTTCTTGGATCTAAATTTGTTGTACCTTATCCTGGCTTCTAGGGGGAGGGGGGGCATGCCCCTCTCTGGGTACGCCCATGCTCACAGCTGAAACTGGTATTTTTTAATATAGCTTTGTACTATGTATGGTTGTCATAGGAATTTTTATGTACTGCCTTTGATTGTGTGTGAGTTGTTATAAAAATCAGTTATGGGTAGGTGTCTAAAATTTACAGGTACAGCAAACAGTATAACAGTATAATAGATTGTAGGAATTTCGAATAGTGTTATTGGACTTTTACTGAAATATTTCTATAAACAAGTCATATTTAATTTCTATTCAAGTACCATTACAGTACAACGAGGACTTGGGTTTGCTGCTGCATGAAAGGAGAAAAGTGTTTTTATATATTAATAGTATAGGATGAAATAAAAATTTTATCAAAATATAGCATGACCAAGCACTGAAATTTATAATATGCCGTTTTTCAGTAATTGTAAAACAATATTTACTACCTATACAAAACTGTTTGTCTTTTTAAGCTTTACACTATAGCTTCAATAAAAATTGGCAATTTCCATGTATTATAGGTAAAACTTTGAAAACCCCCAATTTTTGAAAAAAGTTTAAAACTTTAACTTATAACCCCGTTTCCATGACCCAATCTTGCTGGTCGCGAACTAAATCACATTTATTCCTCTTTTAAAATTAATTCCAAATCGGGGTACATAAAAATCGGTCCAAAATTAATTTATGTTGTAGGCTATGTAATTTTTTAATGACTTAATATAATTCTTTCCTTAAAATTTCTTGGCCTCTGAATCATAACAATATCGTTCTCTTCACTAGAACTACTAGATTTATCCATTGTGTGTTATCTTACTACGTAATTTCACTTTTCAATGTATCACTACTTTGCTACTTGTATAACTTTTATGGTGGTTTAGAGAATGCTAAAATATTCACCAATTTACAGGTCCTGTATTACAGTAGTTGGACACTAAACTGAACATGTCCTGTATTATTTACATGTAATTGACTTCTTGATCAGCATTGTACGTGTTATTAAATTTAAGGAAAGTAAATAAAAGAAACGTCTTATAACACTTAAAACATATATTTATACTTATACTGCTACTCACAAGACGGTAAATATACAAAATAGATGGTAAGTGGTGGTCGATTTCAATTGGACACTCCAATCATCATCAGACCCAATTGGCAAATGACATTAATTGACGTCATTTGCCAATTGGGTCTGATGATGATTGGAGTGTCGAATCGAAATCGATCACCACTTATCATCTATTTTGTATATTTACCGTCTTGTGAGTAGCAGTATAAGTATAAATATATGTTTTAAGTGTTATAAGACGTTTCTTTTATTTACTTTCCGTAAATTTACTTGTAATACAGGAGAATCATATGTAAATTATTTTAAAGGAAAAACTCTTTATAAAAAATAAACCTGTAACATTTATGAAACAGGCCCCTATGGTTTGCTTGTTAATAAGACAAATATATGGAAAATCAAATTCTGCATCATAGTAATTTACTTGTATCGTTGTTTCAGGTTAATTTGAAAGAGGTCTTGGTTATCTTAATATCATCAGCTCTTCTGACACTCACGTTTGAAATGCCATTTATCAACATAAAGTCAATTTTCTTCAAGAGGAATTCATCGCCAAGAATACAAAGTGATGCAAAAAAGGCTGACTAGGAAGACTGAAGAAGTCTTCACTCAAAAGTTAGCTTACAATCCAGAAGGAGGCAATGCATTGTAGTTATCCAGATCTCAACTAAGAGACAAGTTATATACTGATATTAGATTAGACATAATGAAGACGAATTATTAGATTGTTGCAAAGTGCTCATAGAATGTGAACTATTGTTCTTTTAGAGTAGCTTTTCTATGTTAGATAAGTGTTAACATACTTAGAATTAATGGCAGTGATATATATATGAAGACGCAATTATGTTTCATATCAAAGTAGTATTCAGAACTAGCAGTAGATGAAAAAAATTCTATTGCTCAGTTCATATACATTACGCAATCAGATACGGCAAAAACGTTTTATAATAATAAAACCTGTACAAAAATTACCACTAACAATCTCAAGGCACTACTCTTTACTTTATTTTATTAAATACAGTACATAATGCAAAGCCTTATCCTCAAATCTTCAAAAAACACTTTTAATTGTAGAAAAATGGCTTAAATAACAATATGAGTGGACACAGGTAAAAATGAGGCACTAGAACACTCCCTAATCGAACACCTCGATTAGCCAAGGATCGTTCTGTTTGAGGCCTATCATTGTTCGTGTGGAGATTGCCAATCAGAGAGCATGTCACCACCGTGTAAATGCTGAGGAAAAGCTCAGTGGACAGTAGAAAGCGGCAGAAAGCCTACAGTGAATCTTGCCAACGCTATAGTGACTACTTGCTCTCTATATGATTGGGTGATCTAACTTGGCTGTATGAGTAAAATAACAACTGTTTCTCGAGGGGCACACACTGTTTCGTTATATTTACATTTAAAAATTGCTAAAGCCGTGTTAAACATACTCGAGAAGTAACGAATTGTCAAACTCTTTACTCGGTCGTGAAAAGTGGGATTTGTAAGGGAATTAAGATCCTTTTGGGTGGTCATAACAGTCGTAATTACTACAAGAAGAAACTAAAAAGTAGTGGTGTGAACCTGCATTTAGAGGTTTATTGTGATTGGATATATAAAATGTACTTTGAGGCAGTTTATTCTTTAATTCATAACATGTCTTATTTCACAGGATAGTCAGAATAATACTTGGCTCTTCTATCTAACTTTAAGGATTTGAATGTATGAAATGTGATTTAGATTAACTATAAATTAAACTATGTATAATTTATTCGAGTTTAATTCAATAAGCCCTGCTAATAAGCTATTTGTTGTTTAAAATGCAGTCAGTTTTTGATATCAGTTACAAGTACCCTCATCCAAGTATAGTATACAGAGTGATACATACAAATGAACAAATAGGTTTCACTTTCAATATATCATAAGGTAAAATTTATAAGGTCAAATTTGCTTTTCTGTATTTCTGTAGATGTAATAAATTAATGTAATACGTATGGCTGCACCTATTTCAAGTCAAGGGCCACTGAAGAACATTTTAGGAGATAGGCTAAAGCACATTTTTTAAGAGTAAGTAAGCTCACATTAACGCACCTTCAAAACAGGTTGCCTAAGAGCCTTATTATGCGCGGCCATAATTTGGTTGAGCAGTATCAATATTTCAAATACAAAACCAATCACCTTTAAAACAAGCTTTTTAATTTTTTTCTAGCATTTGCCGCTTTTGAGAAAAAGTTAATTTACAAAAGTTACAACAAAAACTTTATGGATAGCGTAAAAATTCTGAAACTACACAAATTAATTCATTATATATGTGTCTATATTGTATTAAAGTTTGATAAAGTTCTGACGTTTAGTTTACATTGTGCGAATTTTCAAAGTCATAAGATGGTTTTTGATACTCTAAAAATAGAGAGTTTTTACCTTCCGACTGTCATAAAAAAACAAGCTAAAAATTTTGTTTTCAAAGGAAATACGTAGAATAGAACAACGAAAATTTATATATACTATGTGTTTTTCTAAGTTAGTTTGGTTACATTTCTGTAGAGCTCCAAACTCAAGTGTCTAAACTTTTTTCCCTGACAGTAAGTGTACTATGAAGTGTATTCTTTGTTCCTTACTTCTCTGTGGTTTGTATGATGGTGCATGCAGAAAAAGTGGTAGGTCAGAGGAGAATGCTGGTCACCTGGTTTCTTGCGGTGAGGAGCTCTCTGGGTAAGAAGAACAACTCTCGGCAATCTGGTAAGAGAGAGTCACCTTCCTCAGGGAAAACTGATCGGGATAGTTCGGGCTTTCATCAGGTGCCCGCACATTGAAGGTATCTAAACATATTATCAACTGACTGGGGTGCACAGTAATTTAGGCTAAAGAGCTTTGAGGCTTCTGCCTAACCCTTTTAAAGGGCACCGCCACTTCTTCCACCCACTTGGTCTCCATTCTCAGTCGTATCCAAATGACGCAGCACATAGCTGTAATCGTCAGACCGTAGTCCTGATGTTCCCATGCCCTAATGATACTAAAATACCGGTACCAATGTTTTTATATCAGTTCTCTCTACCAGTACTTCTCGTCAGTACGATGTGACGTCATATGGCCTGATCGAATAAACTAACCCCATTGGTAGTTCCATCACACCACCTTCCGTTCCCACTGCTACCACGATCACCCGACACTCTCTATACCTTCAGTCATCGTCCTACCTCACTGGCTCCCGCATACCAATGCGGTTTTTCTTAAAGTAAAAATGTGTTTATCATTTCGAGCACCTGATCCTACGAAGATCAACTTCAGGTTCTGATACATTTACACTTTTAAGCTAATTAAAGAACACTCAGTTCAGGTTGAAATAATGCTGGATTGAAATTGAGTTGAATCAATTGTGTAATTGGCAATTGGCCTTTTCATCGGTAAAAGTTGTCTTATAAATAAAGTCATATTTTATGTATAAAATTAAGCATGTAGACTAAAGTTTGGATACATTTTTGTAAAATTATATTCCAATTTCTTTTGTTCTATGGAAAGGGAGGTGATAGCCTAATATTGTGCCCTTGGTCTTCAAAGTCTAGCTACAAAATGTTGTAACAATAGCAACTGTACAAATGTTGAGTTTGATCCCAATGTTACCGTACCATAGCAGGATAAACTGTGAATCAAAACTATTTAGTAAATTGTATCCACGGAGATCTAAAAAATAAACAATACATTCCACCTTTTCCTAAATTAAACAACTCATGGATCTCATTGTTTACATTGGGGAAGGAATAAACACACAAATAGGGTGAAATAACATAATTGTACTTCTGAATGGACCCAATAAACATATTTATTGAACTTATATAACACATTCTTCTGTTAACAATCGATTTGAACCTGGGACAAAAACCAATTTTGTTTATGCAAAATATATACAAAAATATTTACAGAACATACATTTAAGAACTGAGCCAGATATTAATCTGATATAAAATTATAGTAGATATAAAGCTAAACCCAGTTTCTTCGATAAACTATGACAATCGTTCGTTACAAACTTCAAAAAACATTATCCAGAAACATTTTCTCAATGTACAATAAATTTTAACATATGATTCCAGCTCATATAAAAATAATAAATCCGACACGGTGGTGGGTGAATTATCAGCTCGTATTTATAGCACTACCAGTACAGAGCGTGATCACTGATCTAACATTCAAGATCGGTTAACAATACGATAGAGTAGGATAGTTTCAGAAGACATTGCCTGCACATAAGACACTTGCTAGGAGCTTGACCCCAGGCTATTGTCGCATCACATGGTTACGTTATATCACTCTCCAATATCAAACTCAACTCTTAACTCTACATCCTTCCAAAACAAAAATTTTCATTCAGTTCCACATCGCAAACAACGCACAAAAATATACTGTATTACCCATGAGATACAAATAATGAGTAACGGACAGTCGGAGCACTCTATACTCATCTGAAACTCTTTCTGTCAATAAAAATACTCACATGGCAGTGAAATGTAAGTACAAAAAGCGTAGTGTAAATATAAACAAAAAACATTACTCTATAATATTTATTTTACTACATACAAGAACCGCAGTTTGTTCGATATCTTTAGAAGCGGATGTGTATAAATAAGTCTACTTACACAACTCGTGTTGGAGTACAATTGAGAAGGAATGACATGAAACAGCATATAGCATTGAGTACAATTTTGTTACATTGACAGTAAAAATTTTAAATAGATGCATTGCACAATGTGATTATTAATAAATTTATAACACAGTGTAAAAACAATACTTGTATAGTAGTATACAGCTTTAAAAAGCTGAAACCAACAATTTCAGAGGCACCTGTTGTCTTATTCACATCACAATACGTCAATACACCAAGAGGTCACTTAATCCTATCTAACACACTATTTCTATCTATCAAACTTTTGTTGTAACAATTGAATCACCAGTAAATTTCCCAAAGCATTTCAACGGTCAGGCATTTGCGATACAATATTTTCCCTTTACGCAATAAACAAATAGTTCATAAAAAAAAAACAAAAACAACACTGATTTGAAATAGTTAACGTATAGATCATATTGCAATATATAACAACTAAAGTTGATTTCCGTTTAAGTTGGTTAAAATGAAAATAAGACAATGTTGAAAGAATGTTTTAAAATTCAAACAAATGGATTTTAATTGCATCTTAAGCATTTATTTCCTCACATAAATTGTTCTCTCCATAATAACATGCACAATTTGAACTGGAATTAACTATTAAAGTTTAATTTATCACTCTCCCATTCCAGAGGCAAACTCTAGTTAGTAAAAGATTGAAAAAGTATTCATATATAGTACTATTAACTGAATTTATTTTTTAATAAAAAAAGCAAAGTCCAACTTTAAATAACTGTGTCGGTGTTGAATTAGGGTTATATATCCAAAAGATATCTCTATATTTAAAAAGTGTTATATAAGGCATTTTATATACAGTCTTATGATTTCTGATATAATACAGCTTATACATACTATAAAGCTTAATTTTCATAACCAATGAATTGTTTTACTGTTTTAATTCATTTTTATTACTTTATTCACACTATCATAGAATATTTTGATTCTATTAAACTAAAAGTTGATAAAGTATAAGTCTATTAACTTAATAAAACCGACAATATTTTTCATTATTTTAAAATAAAGTTAACTAATTTAATAAAGGTTTGCTAACTAAATTTTATATTTATGTGAGGAAATGCAACTTATTCATTGCCTAGAGGTAATATATTTTTGTAATAATATTTCATCTTAAAAGTCTCGTATTCAGTCAGTGGTCAGGTTAAACAGTGAAAGTGAACATTTATCAATCATTACAGTATAAGTCAAGCTCCCACTCATACCAGAATACCACTGGTATTTACTACTAAGCAATGGCAGTCAGGCAAGGTCTCGTGAAACGCCAACTGTCCCTCTGTTTTGTAAGGATATATATACATAAAAAAATAAAAAAGTTCTCTTATGTTTAGTATTTATCACATCATACGGCACTATTATCAAAAGAATTTCTGCCAAGCACTTATACAGACGGATTCACACACAACTAACCCGTCCCAATAAAAAATTATCTCTTAAGTAATTTACTAACTAGTTTACATTAGATATATTTTTTATGTTCGATGAAAATTAGAATAAAACTTAAAAGGATTACAAATTTCAACAGAATTTTTGTCTCAATGACTCAAAATATAAATGTACCAACTCAAAAAGGCCTGAGGACCAAAATATTTAAAGTTAAAACAATGGGCCGATGTAGATAAAAAGTAATGTAAGTGCCTTAGAGGCAAAATCCCTCCGATTACTCACCCGACATTAATTATTAAAACACAACGAGTTTAAAAGGTATCATTTAAAAAATCGAATGAATAATTATTTTCAAAATCCGTGTCGATATCAAACTATTCTAGATGATCTGAACTGTTTGTAGTGGGAGACACTAATGAGCTGAGGTAATACTTCGAACCAGTTTAACAAATGTAACAACATCACAGATATTTCCAAATATACCCACCTATCATACGCGCACACGCGTATCCAACAACAACTGCGAGAACACTTTTGTTCGGTTTCCGTTAAATACCAAAATATCAACAATAGTATATCTCAACAAACAAAGTTCGATAGGTAAATATATCGTAACAATCATTAAACTTTCTTTTCAAATAAGGTAATATTTACAAAATTATAAAACAAGACACCCAGCGACCGAACACTCGGAAGAACGTTCCCGCGAGTTTTGATTCACCGGAAATCACCAAACTGCCTCCTCGCCTTGTCGGTGCAAAAATCATAAAATAACAACATTCAATAAACTATACTGGAAGGAAAATTAGCTCAGCTCTGTCCCTAGTTATAACAGAACTATATACTAATATTTTACAAAATGTCTAGTTTAGCTATCACATAACCTTAAAGGGTTTGTGATTCCTAGTTTCTCTTGTTTTTAAAACAAGATGTGTTAGTAAGAACCCATTCCCGACATCCATTCAAATATTACTACAATAAGAATAACGATTAAATTATAGCTAATATAAAAAACTTAATTTTAGCGTTGTCATGGTGTTTAAAAACACTCGTTGCACTGCTTTTTAAGTCATTGAATAACATTTTCTGTCGTCCAGTCTATTAACACACATCTAATGCTGTTGATAAACACAGTCCAGTGCTTGCAGGATCAGTTGGGAATGACTGCTAAGCATGCTGCTCATCATCTGACTATCGATGATACACCTGCAAAGATACAAACACTTAACTTTAACATCTCTATTCTAACAATTGTTTCAGCAAAGTATGAGAGATGTTCCTATTAAGGTCTCCATCAAGCTACCTTTGTGGCTAAGTGAGCTATTTAAAATCTGAGACCAAGGTCCTGTTCCTTACTTGATCCACTGTTACTCTAGTTGGTTCTAACTGCTATGACACGAATAGTGTTCAAAATAGTAATAAAAAATAGTCTTAAAGAAAGATAATTATACTCCCACAAGTATAATGTCCTGTTATTACCAGTTGATGGACATGAATGGACTGAATGGTGTAAAGTGTTTGGACAAAGAAAATGTGCATAAGGGGTGGAGGGAGTACAGTTGGATTTTTTTTTAGCTAGACACGGTTTAGGTGTGGTGGAATATCTTTGAAGGTGAACCTATTTGGCTGAAGTGCGATCATGACTTGTTCATACGTGTCAAATTTTGAAGTTAAATCAAAACAAACAAACACTGGAATGTTGTCAATTAGGCATTTAGGGTATTAGGCCATGTTGTATTACTTACGAATGAATGCTCATTTAAGATAAAATGAATTAATTTAGTATATTTCATTGTTTAATTTATTTTAAAACATTCAGTATTTAGGCTACTGCATTTTATCAACCATACTCGAATCTTGCTTCCTTGGCCTGTCGTATAACGTTATCATGTTTGTACGGTGCATTAATCTGATTGCATTAATGAATTATCAGCAATACTATTAGCTGTTAATTATAGTTAAAATTGGTCAAAACGTTACTCTAAAGAGGTTTATCTCGTCATCTCGAGAGTATTTAATTCTGGTCCCTAACTTGAAACCCAAAAGGCGGGTCTATATTTATGTGTTAAGAGATTTCCAAACAAAACGTCCTAATCACAACAACCACATTATTCTATTAATACAGTGTGTAAATTAAGTATGGAAACAAATCTGTATTTTTAAAACCGAAATAGATAGAAATATTCTATTTGTGGCAATAATAGTTAACAAAGATTCCGCAATTTTTCACATGAAAAATATTTTTTTACCCCCCTAACAGGGTAGGTAGTAGGGGGTGACTTATTTTTTTCAAATAGCAACCCCTATTGAGTGACCCCTCATTTTGAAGGGTTTGTCAAAAGAAACACAATGACGCAAATCCGAGGTGAATATCTCACTCCTAGCTAACATGGCGGATATTCCAAAATGGGCTTTTTTTTACAAAAATTAAATTTTTCATTACCCACCATTTAGGCTAGGGGTGAAATATCTACCTCGGGTTTGCGTCATTCTTTTTCTTTTAACAAACCCTTCAAAATGAGGGGTCACTCAATAGGGGTTGTTGTTGAAAAAAATAAGTCACTCCCACCCCCTACCCTGTTAAAGGGGTTGAAAAAATATTGTTGATTAAAAAAATTGCGGAACTTATGTCAACAATCAATTCCACAAACAGAATATTTCTATCTATTTCGGTTTTAAAAATACAGATTTCTTTCCATTATTTGTGAAATTGGTGCTTTTCACGTACAATAAATCAAATTTTGGAATATCCGCCATTTGGGCTAGGAGTGAGATATTCACCTCGGATTTGCGTCATTGTGTTTCTTTTGACAAACTCTTCAAAATGAGGGGTCACTCAATAGGGGTTGCTATTTGAAGAAAATAAGTCACCCCCTACCACCTACCCTGTTAGGGGGGTAAAAAAATATTTTTCATGTGAAAAATTGCGGAATCTTTGTTAACTATTATTGCCACAAATAGAATATTTCTATCTATTTCGGTTTTAAAAATACAGATTTGTTTCCATACTTAATTTACACACTGTATAATGATCAACATTAATTTTGCCAGAAGATTCAATATTTTAATATTTGCTCAGATAATTAATCATTTTCAAATCAACCATTACTTATAATTTGGAGAAAGTATTTAAATAACAACTTACTAGTTGATTTGGAATTAGGAATCAGGTCTCTATTTCACAGTAAATATTCTCTACATAGCTAAGTACTTTTATAAAAGTAGGCTAGAGTAATATTAAACTATTGTCAATTCCAAGAATATGCCAGTTTGTTTGTTTTGATTTAACTTCAAAATTTGAAACGTATGAACACATATCGCACTACAGCCAAATAGGTTCATCTTCAAAGATATTTCACCACACCTTAAACGCTTCTAGCTAAAAAAATCCAACTGTACAGTGGTGGTCTTAAACACAATGTTTTCCATGGTGTTGTTCATCAGTCTCATTTACCATTCAAGGAAGTTTGCATGCAGATACTGGTGGGACTAAATGAGAAAGAATATCTTACTGGTAGAGGACGTCTCTATAAGACTACAAGGACTATGGTCAGCCATGGAAGTCTGAAACATGCCAAACTGCTAGCAAAGATTCCTCAAATTCAATCACTCTCACAATGGAGACTGATGAACACACTGCCATCACACTGCCCATTGTGCAAATACATCGAGCTTTATTTGCGAGAAGGACTAGTTTGCGAGATCTTTGAAATAATTGTTTGAATAGTTTGATGTATAAAATCGATGTATATATACTGTACAGGTTTCTACACACTCCCTAAGCCACTAATGCTAATTTTCTACGTTGAACCACTTTTCTGCAAACACTTCTGTCAACTGGCAACAGTAAACACAAGAAATTTACCTCCTTCCTAAAGAAACCTTACCACAAAACACGGTTCTTACTTGTAATGAGCATGAATCACAAAGTTTTTCAATACTATGACCAGATTAACTGCCCCATTGGGGTGGGTTGGAAGCGGCTAGAATAGTATTTGGAGTAAGGAACACGATCTTGATCTCATACACAATATTTCGTCCACAGAGGGTGTAGAAAAAGACATTGTCAAGTGCTGCTTGGACGAAATATTGTGTGTTTTATGTGTCTTCAATGTATTCAATGGCCTATCTGTATTTCTTTTAAGGTAAAATAGCTGATATCCTCCTTTGATCTACAATTCAAAATCCTAGCGTAGAGCTATTCCTAGAACAAAACTAACAATATTGGTTGGTTTACTTACGTTGCTCAGCTATCCACCGAGAAGAGTTCTTTGTGCAGTGCAGGGAATTCCAGATGAGGCGTCGATCTTTTGAATTTTGCAAGCGCTTCCATATGTAACATACTGAGTTCTCTGTGGGAAAATGAGATTATTATGATGGTGTGATTGACAAAGTTATTTATTTGATATGACAAACTTGGGAAGATACTTAAAGTTGAGTTACAATTTTAAAAAATAAGCTTTTAAACATAGCTACATAGACCTCAAATCTATTGAGATTGTTATTTTATTTATAAGTATATAATTTTCAGTAACTTAATCTTAGTTTTCTTATGAACTTTCTATAAGTTGACCATCTGTTTTTTTTTTATCAGTATATCTAAAAACACGGCAGAACAGTTTTTTCAGCATCATCAAGTAAAGCTAAAATTAGATGTTTTGGAAAATATTTTGGCCTTCCATCAATAGTTCTGCATTGTACCTATATACAATTTATCTTCTAGGAACCCTCGCTAACCGAAGTAAAGGTGGCAAGGCCATTTTGATCATCTGTCTTTTTTGTTAATCAATGGTTGGAATTTTAAGTCTATTTCAGTTCAAGATATACTACACTTGTGTTTACATTATTTTTAAATTACTGCCATTTGGAAATCTAAAACCATGTACCCAAAATCTATTCCTTAAAATAATCACTAATGGTTTTCTGGAGTTAATCTGTATATCAGTTTTGGGTCTTCATAACCTTTATTAAATTCCGTTAGCTAAGCTAGGCCAACTATCGGTCACGGCGGACACTTTCCGTTGCCAAGCTAAATTTTATTATGGTCTTGATAAACCCAGGTTTCGGTGAAACTGCATGCTGTTTAAAACAGCTTTACTGTAATAATAACTGATAAAGTCTTATCCTTGTATAAATTTAAATTATTTTTAATGATTTGTTAAATTTACTGACCTAACAAGTATCGGTGAAATTTTAACAGCTACAAAACATGCACAAGAGATAGATTCCCTTACCTAAGCGTAGGTATTTTGTTGAGAAGAGCATCACACACAGTAACGTCCCCTTTGATGGGCATCGTATGGTTGCGCTCAAGTTCCATCCGTAAAGCTCGTAAACAGGCCTGACCCAGTCTTGCTATTTCACCCAGGCCTTTTAGACCCGGCCGATCTGCAACAGACATTACTGGTTAAGCTCTCTTACTTTTTATATCCCTAAAAAAATTGGATTTTAAGCTGGACTTCTTACAACGGTGTCTGCGCTGGGCAGGTATAACATGGTGATATTCTGTAGGAAAAGAAAATGGCTGACAAGTTTTAAAATGTGGCCTCAGTCTGGCCCCTTTTGGTAACATGTCAGTCATGTTAGTCATGTCTCTTACCACAGAGAAGTAAGGTATAGAGGGTAGAGGATATATTAAATGGTACACTTAAGTGGTTTCTAGCACTAGTTTGGTGTCTAGCACTAGTCTAGTGTGTAGGGTCTACCACCACCACCTCGTTCTCATGTACATTACGACAATGCTCTTGGTTGAGGAAGGCCCTGTGCCCTGTCCAATAGGAATTTCCGCACAGTACTCCCTTATTTAAGTTCTTCCTTGCTTGCCACAAGTATATTTCCAGTAAAACATACCAGAGCCTAAAGTGCACAGTTTCATAGGCGTGTTTCCTCTGTACCTTGGGGAGCAACCAAGAAGGTTTGAAATTAGAAGAGACTGCAGATAATTTATTTTATAACAACATGTATCTGAATGAGGTTAAGGAAAGCACTCTTGAAACCATGGCAAGGTTTAAGGGTTGAATTTTTACACCTCAAAGTCGTAAGAGAATGGTTTTTAGTTGAGGTTTATCTAGAGTAGTCTGATCGACAGAGAGATTATGAGGTTAAGCATGGCGAGGCAAGGCCCAATATCTTTGGGGAAACAAAATCAACACTTCCCTTTCAAAGGAGTGGATGTCTCAGGAAGAGCTCATAGAAATAATGCTACAGTTCATTAATTGACTAAGGTTTGACGGGGTCTGAGTCACAAAATAAGTGTAAAAAGCTTAAAAGACAACTGTAGCTGATACCCTCAGGAAAAAGGTACATCCCAACTCAATCACTGAACTAACAGCACAAACAATAAATCTAAAATATAATTTAGAAATTTGATATCGGGATGCAGACAGCTCTAAAAAAGCAACTGATGAAATCAAGAGGCCGAGCAAATACGTCAAAACTGATTTACTAACCTGGTGAGAGCAGAACACACGCAGAATACAAGGCAAGTTCTGTCTCAGTCAGCTTCAGCTCGGCCACTCCCCTCGCAACTTCAAACGCCAGAGCCACAAGTTTCTGCTCGTTGGGATCGTTGGTGTAGAACGCCTCTTGTGGCAGCAGCGTGTCCGTGTACAGCACACAGTTTTGGCTAAGTTCGTAGTAACGACTCATTCTGAGAATCGCTAATTCAAAGCTCCCTGTAAATCCAAACAGGTTATTGTTTTATACACTTCATACTTAAAATACCACCATAACCACATCTGTTGAATTTTATAGTACAGTACATCCAGCAACGTTAGATTTTGAGGTCAAAGGGAAATTTAATGCTAACCTATACAATACCAATTTCACCTTGGTGCATCAATGGCTTTGGGGATACAAATATCTTATATAATTTCACATATGTGTACAAGTTGTTACGCAGAGTGCATTTATTGGACATAAATCCGTTCTTGTTTTACACGCTAATATTTATGATATTATTATTTTCTTTTTTCAGAACTTTCACATTAATGTAGTATTTTTGTTTGATGTAAATACCTACATGTTTAAAACTTCATTCATAATTATTTCCTACACTCCTAACACTTTGTCTTGGGAGATGGCTAAAACTAATAGTTTTAGTTTTACCGTCAATATAAAACTCTCTTTGTCTTTAGAGGCATCACAAGTGTTTCCAATAAAATCTATAGAGTTACCATATAGTGTTAAATATATGTTTGATAAATTGAAGACTCTAACTAGATAAGACATTTAGCAACATGTAAAATTAATAATTCACACAAAATCTCATTGGTAACGAAACTACCACTTTCAAAATCAAATACCTAAAGCATAATAAGTATATTTCATTTCATTTCCATACGGTATTATTATGTAGCTGATATTAGAATTTGGTTGGTAACAGTTTAAAGTGGAACAATTTCTATCCAGCTATTGAAAAAATGTGAAACCAAATAAAAAGCTATATTGTTTTTTTCTGAACCAAAAAAAATTATTCTGCAATAAATATTGACTTATTTATTAGATTTTAAATAGGCAACAAAAACATTGGCTGAAGATTTTTAGATTTAATGTTGGTAACTGATACTAAAAACTAAACGATAATAGTATTCGCATGCATTTAAGAATGGAGAAAATCCAAAAGATGTTAAGTAACAAGTGCCATACCTGCTTTCAAAAGAACGATTTGATCGTCTTGTGTTAGTTTCATGAAACCAGGAACCATCTTAGCAAACTCAATGATTTGCTGTATGACTGTCGTCAGTTTTTGTGCACACTCCAACCACAGTTGTTCATGTGACTGTAAAAAAACGAACATTTTCATTAATTTTAAAGTAAATAAAGATGTAAATTTCCAAAATATTTTAAGGTGTTGGATAGGGATGGGCGCGATTGTTGTTGATTGGGACGGAACAGGTAGGATTTTTATTTCCTTCTTGATTTTTGGTATAGTGTTTTTCTTCTAGTGCAACAAGGGTCCATTTTTAATTTGTTTGTGAAATTGTTTAAAAATTGCAATAATGAGAAACAAAATCAATTTTTAGTCTTTATTCCACTGTTCTATGGTAATGAAAGGTTGACTTTAATCGGCGATCACAACACCTTTGCTGTTTCTCCTGCGACCACAGGGAAATCAGTATCGTCACCCGCCATAGCATCCAAATATTGAACACGCAAGGACATTATCGCCGTTAACCGCCATAATGGGGAAATACTCAATAACTCCTATGAAAATTCTCCCGCAACACCGAAAATACATCACAGAGAAGTCAAGTACAGAGGGAACTTGTTTATTGACGACGGAGCGCTTTCAGCTCTGGTATGTGTGCTGGATATACACTGGTGACGTGCAAGGAAGAGCCTGAGCAGTGAGCACTGTGTGGAAATTCCTATCGCACAGAGCACTTGGTCTTCCTTCACCGTGAGCACTGTAGTACATGAGGGATGTAGGGGGGCGGTGTTGGTCTTGGCCCTAGACACCACCTAAGTTTACCATTGAATTTTTTATCTGTACCTTACTTCTCTGTAAATAAATCTTGATAATTTTCTATCGGGTAAAAATTTAGTTGTGTAACTGTAGTAATGTATGTCATTATTAGGTGTAAATGTACGGTTTTCTAGTAGAAGACAGTGAAAAAGAGATTCTCACCATATCTTTGTAGTACATTACTTTGGAGAGGTCTTGAGGCTTACGGAACATAGTGTGAATGTGTTCTACTGAGTAGAGACATGTTCTGGCGTGAGCATCTGCTATAGTCTTGCTTAGTAACTCTGTGATCTGTGCAGGATCTGAAAAAAGTCAAATTCAAATGATATATTAAAATTAAAATATATTTATTACTATAATTTACAAAACTTGTTAGCAATGTCCAATTGGTTCAAAAGTAACAAACACATTTTACAATACTTTTCTTCTTTTTTTTTAAAGTAGGCCTACAAAAAATATATGGGTAGTTACTTGTTCTAAGGTGGCTTTTAGCAGGCACATATTTCAAAACAGAGTATTTGACAGCAAGACTTAAACTAACTCTAAATGCATTAAAAAGAAATAGAATAGAAATTGCCATATAACAAACATTTTTTTTCAGTTCGTGGACCGTAGGTTTTTTTTGTATGGCAGTGCAGAGTCAACCTGACAGCAAAAAATCAGAGAAGTCAGCACATGCATTTTCATAAATCAGAGTAAATAAAATTGCTTGAAAAGCTCACTTCAACACTTCCCTGAAAACTATATGTACTACTATTAATAGTACTATAGTATGTACTATATGTAACTATTCTTCCCTGAAAATATTATAAAAATATTGAATAATGATGTTATCTTGACCATAGTTTAGGGGCATTACTAATACGGGGGGACCTTTATAATACGCATTACTAAACTGAAAATGTATAGGCCTATTAGGTTTATTGTTTCAAAATATCTTCTGTAAATTTATTAAGCGAGATTTAAAAGCATGTTCATATCGGACAGTGATATGCACTTAATGAATTCTAAAAGTATATAAACTCGATTAGACATAAAAAAGCATTGCTGAGCCATGCAGAAGAAGTTTATAGTTTCAACATGCACTAATATTGAACCAATAAAATAAAGAAACCATACCGGTATATCATATTTTAAAAATCTATCTTGGTAGGTATAAGTGTAGGGAAATAACACCATTCAAAGTTTTTAAATTTGAAAAAAGTAATAATTTTGAAGTACAATAATTGTCACTCTTGTAATCCACCAGTTTTCCTATTCCTATAGTAGGAATTATAGAGTTGAATCAATGCCTCGTATAATTAGCTTGAGGCAAAACTCATACTTCTAACTCTACAATAATTCTTCAACAGATGTAAGATTTATTTTTATCAGGGCATTGAATGCGTATTGATGCAATTTTTACTTCCCACAGAAATGATAAAGAACTGTTTCTAATCAAGTATAATATTTCATAGTTCCTTAGTCAGCTAAATAAAGGAACAGTAGAGTCTCAATTATCTAATCTTTGGTTATCCAACCTTCCATTTTATTTTATCCTCCAGGTGCTGATCAAGAAGTCGTGTGTTATTTTGTGTGGTATTACTGTACACTGCAGTGGGTATACCAAAACAACCAGTTTGCCACAATTAATTGTTGATACTCAAACATATTTGTTTGGTTTTTGGCACCTACACTTGACAGTACTTTATGATAGGCAACAAATTTAACATGGGGATGGATATTCTACTTGTATCAGTAGTCAAAGATCTCATTTAAAACAAACTAAAAGCCTCAAATAGGGGTGACAATGGTGAACATTTAATATAATGATTTCAAACACGACCTTGCTGCGGTCGGATAACAAATAATCGAGACTCTACTGTAAGGAGTTTGTATTTTGTCCAACAGAGGAAAAACACTCAATTTCCATGAATAAACAATGCAAATCTTACGAGGTAAAGACGATTCTTCCATCTGACGAGATGTGGTGCTATCTACAAAGGTGACGAGCGGGGAAGCAGGTTCACCTTGTCCCGACTCTGCTTCCAGTTTGACTGTCCCTACAGCCCCCCGCGGTGCCATGTGCCCCGGCCCCGTCGTCACACATTTACCACCACCTTAGATAGAGTGCACCCAACGATTAGTAAGCAACTAGTAGCTAACAGGCTGCCAACCCAACTAAATTGGCTGTTTAAACTTAAAACTGTCATATCTACAAACACTTATTGACTGTATGAGTGAGCATTTTGGTGAGTTAAATGTTTCAAAAATGAATTGAGTTTAGTTAAATTCTTTGTATGGCTTATCCAAATTGTGCAAATATACGGGTTGTCCATACATTAAGGTCTCCAACCAGCTCCAGTAGTGTTCAAGAGAGCTACTTCGATTCAGACAACAGTGCCTTGTTTTTTACTTTCCTCGCTACTGCTCCATCCCTTTCCTAAATACATGAGACAGTATTTCATTGTAGTATCCAATAAACTGTCCAGTCCCCATCCTTATAGCCCCTGTCACACGGAGCTTGTTTCAGCAGCTAGTTCTCCAGCTTGCTAGAAGTCCTGTCAGACGAACCTGGAGAACTAGCGTTACAACTTATAGCCCCTGTCACACGGAGCTTGTTTCAGCAGCTAGTTCTCCAGCACGCTAGAAGTCCTGTCAGACGAACCTGGAGAACTAGCGCTACAACTTATAGCCCCTGTCACACGGAGCTTGTTTCAGCAGCTAGTTCTCCAGCACGCTAGAAGTCCTGTCAGACGAACCTGGAGAACTAGCGCTACAACTTATAGCCCCTGTCACACGGAGCTTGTTTCTGCACCTAGTTCTCCAGCACGCTAGAAGTCCTGTCAGACAAACCTGGAGAACTAGCGCTACAACTTACAAGTCTGGTGATGTAAATGGGCCATTGGGACCATGTGTGTGTGGTTACCAAAAATAATGTCGTATGTTGGTTTTAGAAATTATGTTCTGTCTATGATCAGCCATCATAAAAATAAAAGAGTGCAAGGAAAAAAATAATTTGTATATATAAACACTATTATTTATATCTACTACGGGCATGTAAATTAGCAAATTAAAATCGAATAAGTTGTGGTATGCCGATAACAAAGGTTATTTTATCTTTTATCAACACAAAAAACACATTCATTTAGTTAATATAGGTGAGATGTAGCACTCGTAACTACGAGAAAATTATGGCAATGCATGATAAACATGAAGTTTTAAATTTGTTCTTGATTAGTTCAAATGCATTAAATTATTTAAATTCACTTTTCTTATTGCGAGAACTAGCACGATACTGTCAGACGGAGTTGGAATTGCGCTAGAGATAACAGCTGGATGGTCAAATGACCTGCTAGTGACTCTTCAAGCGCTTGTAATATTAAACTGTTTTAACCCTCCAGCGGCTAGAGATACCAGCTCATGCGAGTGTTTCTAGCAGCTGGAGAATCAATCACACGGTTTTATGCTGGTTCTAGCTGCTAGTTACTAGCGGTGAAAAAACCAGCTCTGTGTGACAGCGGCTTATGAGACAATCGTTTCATCGGTATCCAATAAAAATGTGAGGATAAATCATAGCTCCCGGCAATTATGTATTGCAATGAGTGGCTGGAATAGGAATGAGGAAAAATTGTTTGGACGAACCATTAGCGTATTTGCACAATTCCGATAAGTCGTACAACGAATTGAACGACTATTAGACTCAATTTAGTTTTGAAACATCTAACTCACGGAAGATCAATTGAAATTAAAAAACACATTACTATTTTTTTAATACAATGAAAGTTGATCAATAAAAGTCTCAAATGTTTAATATTTAATGTTAAATTTTTATTTAAGTAATTTCGATAGCTTAACTGGTAAGTAAGATTAAATTTTGATATATTAAGCAGTATATTAAGCCTTATTAAGTATATTAAACCTTAGAAAACTTTATCCCCCAAACACAATAATTGTAATTAGATTGTTTACATACTAATATAACTTAAAACCACTTTAATATAAAGGAAGGCAGCCCATTTACCAGATAAAACATTTTATTTCAGCCAACAATGTTAGAATAACAGCATGTATAGATTTATCAGAGCCATGGCCCCATAAATCTTTTGGTTCACTTCACCAACCAAAACCACTCAGGTACTATGAAAGCTGTCATGCAAACAGGTATATTTATAAATATACAACTCCTGCTAGCATTTGGCAACATAACTTTAGAATAGTACAAAACTATAATTAGTGAGGATTATTCAAAACTAAGGACAAAATGTTTTTAGGGGTTTTCATCGATAAATAAATCAAAAATATAATGTAAAAAATGGAAGAGGAGATTTTGCCCTTCTAAAGAGGTCAATGTTAAATTTTGCATCAATGAACTATCCAAAACATCACTCAAAAACTTCAAATTGGTTTAAAACGTCGAAAGAGTGTCAATCAATTAACTCCAAGTGTATAAAATAATTTATATCATAGATTGCACATAGGGCACATAGGTCATGTTTTGAAGACCGCTGTTGGGACAGCAGGCTTACCTGAATGGTAAATAGTTCATCCTGGCACAAGTTGTCATATATTGTGTGGAGACTCCTCTATAGTATGTTTGTTTAAAGTGATAAGTGATACAATATACACAAATATTTGAAGACTACAATGTTTCTGACAGATTGAAGATTTAATTTGGGTAAGAGTTATTGTATTCTTTGAGTCTGGTTTGACCCTTTCCCACTCAAGTATACCCATAGTAACTTTTAGGTTGATGTCTTCTCTTCAACTTCTGATAAATTTTAAATTATTACAACCAAATAGAAAGATCCATTTGTGAAGTACTGCTTTTCCTTTTTTTAAGGTCCTAATTAAAAATCAAAACATCTGTGGTTTTCAGGATAAAACATCTAACATTAAAATCTTTGAAAACCACTGATTAATTTGAAAAAAGTTACAGTTCTATAATTACTTGCAACAGGAAAACACTAACTTGGGGTTTCACTGTAAAAATCTGTAAGCATAAAATTTACGAGACAAAGTTTATTGGTCTTTAAAAAAATCTACTATACTACATAATATTCTGTTTATAGACCCATATATTACTGGGGAAAATGTGTTATGTACCACAGAGAAATTTTGATCACTAAGACAGATCAATTGAAATATCCTCACAAGATTCCTAAATTAAAGACCTAATATTTATTTAATGTTTAAAAGGAGTTTTTACAGTTATCCACACTATGTATTAGAAGACCTTCCTTGCTCTCAGCGCTCTTAAACACAATTGATATCTCAAATAGTTTGCTAGTTTACTTCACGCCTAACCTAGTTATAATAGCGACTGCGTACAAAGCTATGTAAAAAACCGAGATAGCAGTTGCTAATTCCATCTATCAATCAATCAACCACTCTGAACGAATACACTCACGGGAAGACAGCTAAATAGCAGTGAGCTAACATAGAGGCTATCAGTGCGTTTTGGCTCTAGTGTGATCCCTAAGGGTTCAATTTTCTTCAAGGGCGCTACAGACTATCCACCGTTCTTTTACTTGTAAATCTCAACTTTCTAGAAGTTTTAGTGCCTCGTTACTTTTCATCTCAAATGTCTGTCAAATAGTACTTGACGGTCAATTAAGTTGATTTACCTGTGGGGATGGTCGTGCCCATTATGCTGGACGTATCTACGGTGTGCATCGTATCAGGGTAGTACGTCGTACTGTCCACTCCACAAGGGTCGGTACTGATGTCTTGATATTGTATCTGACCACCTCCGTGTCCCTCGTAGATCCCGTACGTGCCGGGGCTGTAGACTCCTCCCCCTCCAGCATACCTGCGACATCACACATGTGCTACACTCGCTATCTTGGATCTTCTTAACACTGAGAATATTTATATTGGTCCTTTCACACACCAGAGGTTTGCTATTAATAGACATTGTGTACAAAATATTTGTTAATAGTCAAACCTTGCGATCAAAATAAAATGCTGGAGTCGTGTGAAACCCCCAAAATGAAATTGGCCCTAAAAATGTTATTGAGTTCAGTTAATCGCAGAGTATTCAGAGGAAATCCAATTTATAGAAGTAGTTGAACCGGTCTGAGGAACGTTTAGGGGGTCTGTCATGAGGAAAGCAAAGTAAAAGGAAGAAGTCAACAAAACAAAGCATAAAATTGTAAATGATAAAATGAATGGTAAGATTTACAGCAGGAGATCCTTTCGATTTGAGTTTTCCCTCTCTGAAAGCGGAGGTAGCAAGGAATCTTGCATGAACCTGCAAGAAAGAGAAAATGAACAATGATTCTCGATTAATAGTTACAGCACTTTGAACATTTTTCCTGAATGATATACAATCCCCATTCATTGTGAAATTCCAAACTGGATGTTTTATTTGTAAAATATACGAAACAAGATTTAACTAATGAGGTTTAAAATTATAACTGAGGAAAGATTTTTAACTATCTGGACAGTCAAATTAATTATATTTTGTTTTTTAATTGATTGTTTTTAAATACAAGTATTAGCATGGGCCAGATATATGTATTTTTTTAATCCATGTTTTGCCTCCTGGATTGATAAAGAGTACCTACTAGTACTAGGTTAAATACCTTTTTACGTCTTCAATCCTAGTTATCTTTTTCTGATGACAATTCGGGGCAATCAGTCCCATTGTCAAATCTTGTGTCTTGTTAATTACTGTTAAAAGCATTGATCGTTGCATTCCACATGTAGTGCATACACACACTGTCACACGAAACATTTATATTTACACGAAACAATTTAACTTGTAAATGTTTTGTTTTAATTGACAAAAAGAAGGCTCTTAAGGTAAATGATGCCCATATACAACCAGAAAAGTTTTTAGCTGCAAACAAAGAAAACGAGACAGATCTTAATCAAATGAATTAAATTATAGAAAAACAAGAAGAACTTTACACTAAGATTAATGAGTTTGAAAAACAATTAGAGATGGCAAGATCATATCGACAAAAACAATATTCAAAAGCACAATTCTACCTCACATCTTGGTGTAGTGATCGACTATGGTCTTAATTGGCGAGAACATATGGACTCACTCTGTCAAAGACTAAACAGCACCGTCTTTGCTATCAGGAGGATTGTAGCAATAGGTACCCCAGAGGCTGTGATGGTTATGCGCTATTCGAGAGCAGTATGACATATGGAATGGTTCTTTGGGGCGGCTCTTCAGTCAGCAATCTCAAAAGGGTATTCATTCTACAAAAGGAAGCTCTTTGAACCATGGACTACAAATGAGAGATAGCTGCAGAAGAGTTTTTCCGGAGAAGAAAATCTTGACAGTGGTGTCGATGTTTGTTTACGAAACCGTACTGCTGTCAATGAGGAAAGGTCTTCCGAAAACTTGCAATGTTCATAGACACAACTCAAGGTTTGCTAAGAACTATAACCTACTCTATCACCGCAAACAACCTTTTTGAGAGAAAACCCTCATACCTGGGAGCGAAGTTTTATAACACACTGCCAGAGGAGCTCAAGAATTACTACGAAGCAGAAAAAATGAAGCCCCACTTAAAAAATTGGTTGTCTTTCCGGCCTTTTTACACTGTTGAAGAATTTTTAAATTAGAAAGACTTTGATTTGAATGACTTTTAACTGTTACAATGATTGCTTTGTTATTGTGCTGAAATCTATTTGTTTTGATTGTTGACGCCATTTCAAATCTTGATGATTTTGTAATAAAGTTGTTCTCTCTCTCTCTCTCTCTCTCCAACATTTAATACTTTTGGCCAGCCTAAACAAATTACTAACATCGTGCGGAACCGGTACACTGACTGATGCATGTTAGCCGATAACAATGCTTTCAACAGTAATTAATAAGACAGAAGATTTAACAATGGGGCTGATTGTCCCGAAACAATAGTCATCAGAAAAAGACGCCTAGGATTGAAGTCGTAAAAAGGTGTTCAACCTATTATTAGTACAGATATGTTTGTTTAAATGTAGAATATATTGAAATACTTATTTCGTACATTTAACTACAGTTGTTTATAAGATAATCACCAGGAGTATTTCATGTCTAACATTAAAAAAACGTAAGTCATGCTAAACAGATTGTGAATAGTGTTTGAACAAGGTGCGTTCGCTTCCCATTTTTGCCTGGTGGATTATATACTCCAGTTATTGAATGATGGCAATAAAAAAAATGGATTTTCATCCGACAAGCCAGGAGGGTACCAATATTAGGCCAAGTTCACCAATATTATATTCAGGCAAAAAGTGCCAAAACATCCAAAATCCAGACATCCAGAACCAAAATAATTTCAATCTGGACATCTAGGGCTGAGTTTAAAACCTTAAGATACATTGCGTATGGCTTGTTTGACGTACCCAGCGCTGGGGAAGAGGTGGAGGTTGTCCGTAGATGAAGGCGTTTGCTGTCCATCTCCGTAGCTGGTTATCCCTGTAGTGTCGGGAATCTCAACCTGCTGCGCACGTTGTTGTGCCGCCCTGTGATATCGAACCTCATCCTCGACCTTCTCACGTTGCTTCTTTGACATCCGCCCAAACTTGACAGCTGTAATAAAAGTTTTAAAAATAAATTATGAATAAAGACCAAAGACAAAGCAAGAAATGTTTAGAGTTTTTTGGTTTGAGCCTTATACCATTGACAACAATGATTCTTGGTGAATTTCTCATAAGTGGGTTTATGAAGACACCTTTTCCTACCCTCATAGGCTTCAAAACAACAAAGTAACAAAGGCATTAATCCGGTAAGAGTCAAAGAACCCACCCACTCTTCCGTCAACTTCAATTTGAGTCTTCCACCATTTATTGGTGAGCCTCTTCCGCCAAACTCTAGCATAGTGAGTTCCACACCGGAGTTGATCAACAAGGGTTTTAGAAACTTAATCTAGAGTTTATTAAGATGAGTTTCCGACCATTAATATAGAGTTGACCAAGAGGGGTTTCAGACCCTCAATCTAGAGTTGATGAAGAAGGGGTTCAGACCCTCAATCAATTCTAAATACCCTCGCCGCAGCAAACCTGCAGACTAAGGGAATTTCCGTTTACTTGGCTGGATTTCTACTAAAATATTCCCTAAAAATTGTCAGATTTATTTCCTATTTAATTAACATTAATTTTAGTGAGTACCTAGGTTTGCTGCTACAGGGAGATTGAGATGTATTGAGATGTATTTTTTTATTGAAATGTCGTTAGCTTAGTATTAGATAAACCAAATTTCCAAATTTGGTTTAAATATATTCATAAACAAGCAAACTACAAAAGTTTATTTATTCTGCATAAGAATAACATGGGAATTTTCAATTTACAATTTTTTAAATTACCTCCGTAACCGTTGGGCATACAACAAGACTTCAATATACAAAATTATTTCTTTTATTAAGCTCTAAAAAACGGTTTGGAGAGAAATTATGAAATTTTGTGTTTTTAGAATCAAAAATGGGGAAAATCTATTTTTACCCCATAAAACCCCCCATTAACCCCTGTTCCCATTGTCTGATTATGCTGGTTCGCAAACTCGTTCGAATAAAGGTAGGTTTACACGTTTGTACCAAATTTCATTAAAATCGGATCATTTTTGCTTGAGCTATCGCGCTAACCGACACACACACACACACATATATGAATAGCTTATTCCCTATATGGAAAATTCGCTAATATTTCCTATATAGAAAATTCGCTAATATTCCCTATATGGAAAATTCACTAAAAGTATGTTAAGTCAAAACATAGCCCCGGGACCGATTTACTTTTTTGTTTTGCTGTCCCCAGAAGAGAAAAGGCAAAAAGTTTTCCCTATTTTTCCAAACTATTCCATAAAGAATAAAAACATATAATTTAGTATATTTTAGGGTATTTATAAGCCTAATGGTCATGGGGGAAATTCCAATATCTGTAAATTTTAAATTCCCATGTCACGCTTAAGGATAATAAACTGTTGTAGTTTGCTTGTTTAGGGATAAATTTTGATAAAACATGGTACCGGTACATTAGTCTATAATACTTTTAACATTTCTATAAAATACACACTTTATTACCTTGCTCGTAATCCATGGTTCTCATCAAAATTAAACTTTATTATAAAATAAATCCGACAATTTTAAGGGAATATTTAAGTAAATATCCAGGAAAATTGGAATTTTCTTAGTTTGCAGGTTTGCTGCGGTGTGGAGGCTAGAATTACGTTAGTTCTACCGATGATACCTTTAAATTAGTGTGGTATCTTAAGATATCTCCATACTGAAAATCAAAGTTGTATATTAGCTAATAATTAAAGAAACCTGTTAAAACTTTGAGGAGTGCAAAAATATTGGTAAAGATACCAGTCTCCAGGGTGTTTTTGGTAGAGATAAAAGTTGGTGATAAGAAAGATCACCGACCTAGCTAGGTCAACGCTCTAACCCCTTCACCACCCCCTTAACTCTTTGCCGAAACTTCCGAGGTCCTGAACCCGGAATTGCCACGAGGAACTTAAGATTTCAGAACGCTAATTGGGCATATTCTCATTTTGCCGTCAAAAATAAAACATTTAATTAGCAACTTATGAAAAGTTCACAAGTAAATGCGCTTACAAGGGGAGGTCAACGCTCGCCCCTCCCCCCCACCACCCCGCGAAACTTACTTCCGGTTCCACCTTGCCACACGCTATTCGCCTTTCCATTTACAACCCCTTTATTGTGCCAGATGGCATAAACAAATCAAAACTTAATTTAAGGTAAAAATATTACAATTGTAATTTCGTTATATTTATGAATCCGTAAAATAAGGGAGTAAAAATAAATAATCCGAGGATCTAACACAGATTAACTTAGACTTAGAAAAATATAAAACATAAAAACTGTAATACAATGCGACGCTATATTTGTATATTATGCACGCAAAGATAAGTATATTAAGGAATATTTCAGATTAATGTTGAATGTAAATTTTCACGTTATACCTTTCTGAAGTAAGGGAATATAAAACGGAATAGAAGAGTGCCAAGAAGGGTCAGTCACCCTTCACAGCCCTCCCACCACACGCAAGGATTTTCACATTGGCATTTCAGTGTCCTCTGGAGAGAGGTCATTTGCTTCAAAACTGAAGACAATTTATGAAACTGAAACCTAAGGTGTTCTGACATTAAAATTAGAATCACGGCTGTGTTGTTTTCAAATTTCAGAAATGATAAAAACGTGCTCATAGACGATAAATAAACAAAAAATCCCTGTTCACTGTAAATTGTTTGAATAAATGTGAAATGTCCTTAGTAGTGCAAAGGATACATGAATAATTCACGTTGGTTTCAATTGTATGCTAAAAATTGATTGCTGATATTAAACTAACACGCACGCTGCGCCACCTAGCAACTATCACTAGTGTTTGTGGTGAGGGTAGCATGTTGTTCTGTTGGTATTTACATCACTCTGACGTCACGCTACGCCACCTAGCAACTATCACTAGTGACGTGGTGAGGATAGCATGTTGTTCTGTTGGTATTTACATCGCTCTAACGTCACGCTACGCCACCTAGCAACTATCACTAGTGATGTGGTGAGGATAGCATGTTGTTCTGTTGGTATTTACATCGCTCTAACGTCACGCTACGCCACCTAGCAACTATCACTAGTGATGTGGTGAGGATAGCATTTTGTTCTGTTGGTATTTACATCGCTCTAACGTCACTCTACGCCACCTAGCAACTATCACTAGTGGCGTAGTGAGGGTAGCATGTTCTATTGGTATTTACATCGCTCTAACGTCACGCTACGCCACCTAGCAACTATCACTAGTGATGTGGTGAGGATAGCATGTTGTTCTGTTGGTATTTACATCGCTTTGACGTCACTATGTGTCACGCTACGCCACCTAGCAACTATCAATAGTGACGTGGTGAGGATAGCATGTTGTTCTGTTGGTATTTACATCGCTCTAACGTCACGCTACGCCACGTAGCAACTATCACTAGTGACTTGGTGAGGGTAGCATGTTGTTCTGTTGGTATTTACGTCGGTCTAACGTCACGCTACGCCACCTAGCAACTATCACTAGTGATGTGGTGAGGATAGCATGTTGTTCTGTTGGTATTTACATCGCTCTGACGTCACGATGTGTCACGCTGCGCCACCTAGCAACTATCACTAGTGACAAGGTGAGGGTAGCATGTTGTTCTGTTGGTATTTACATCGCTCTGACGTCACGATGTGTCACGCTACGCCACCTAGCAACTATCACTAGTGACGTGGTGAGGGTAGCATGTTGTTCTGTTGGTATTTACATCGCTCTGACGTCACGCTACGCCACCTAGCAACTATCACTTGTGACTGGTGAGTATAGCATGTTGTTGTGTTGGTATTTACATCGCTCTAACGTCACGCTACGCCACCTAGCAACTATCACTAGTGACGTGGTGAGGGTAGCATGTTGTTCTGTTGGTATTTACATCGCTCTAACGTCACGCTACGCCACCTAGCAACTATCACTAGTGACGTGGTGAGTATAGCATGTTGTTCTGTTGGTATTTACATCGCTCTAACGTCACGCTACGCCACCTAGCAACTATCACTTGTGACTGGTGAGTATAGCATGTTGTTGTGTTGGTATTTACATCACTCTAACGTCACGCTACGCCACCTAGCAACTATAACTTGTGACTGGTGAGTATAGCATGTTGTTGTGTTGGTATTTACATCACTCTTACGTCACGCTACGCCACCTAGCAACTATCACTAGTGACGTGGTGAGGGTAGCATGTGGTTCTGTTGGTATTTACATCGCTCTAACGTCACGACGTGTCACGCTACGCCACCTAGCAACTATCACTAGTGTTTGTGGTGAGTATAGCATGTTGTTCTGTTGGTATTTACATCGCTCTAACGTCACGCTACGCCACCTAGCAACTATCACTTGTGACTGGTGAGTATAGCATGTTGTTGTGTTGGTATTTACATCACTCTAACGTCACGCTACGCCACCTAGCAACTATCACTAGTGACGTGGTGAGGGTAGCATGTTGTTCTGTTGGTATTTACATCGCTCTAACGTCACGCTACGCCACCTAGCAACTATCACTTGTGACTGGTGAGTATAGCATGTTGTTGTGTTGGTATTTACATCGCTCTAACGTCACGCTACGCCACCTAGCAACTATAACTTGTGACTGGTGAGTATAGCATGTTGTTGTGTTGGTATTTACATCACTCTAACGTCACGCTACGCCACCTAGCAACTATCACTAGTGACGTGGTGAGGGTAGCATGTGGTTCTGTTGGTATTTACATCGCTCTAACGTCACGACGTGTCACGCTACGCCACCTAGCAACTATCACTAGTGTTTGTGGTGAGGGTAGCATGTTGTTCTGTTGGTATTTACATCACTCTAACGTCACGCTACGCCACCTAGCACCGGCAGGTGGCGTGAGAAATGGTATGAAGTGTTGTTTATTTTATGGCGTTACTTATCTTAACAGCAGTTTTAGCTTTGTTGACTTACATCCATCTATATGACAGGAAAAAAAATTGAGATAATTTTTAATCCTTCGAAATATTTTAGGGCTTATAGAATGAAACTGATTAAGAACATAGCATTTTATAGCATGTGAAATTTAAAGTACATATATTTTTCTGTAAGCTATCATTTTACCCAACTGTTTTTATATGCTGACAAATTTGTAGCATTATTTAAATGTTACCTATTTAAATCTTTCTGGTTACGATTGAACATCTGAAACCCCCTTTTTCTATGTCAACAGCCTTTAGTGAACTAGAGTTGATGCATTTAGCTACATATAGTTAATATGTTCTTTTCATGTTTTATAAACTATTTTCGATGTAAAATCAACGCGCTGTGATGCTAGGATTCTGATTCTGCGATTCTGGTATACTGACCCATACTGACCCATGGAGGAAACGTTAGGCGTACGCGGTCAAGCGTCGTGCAATCTACGTAGGCAATTTACTGATAACAGGGTTGGCAGTTCGTTGACCGTTTATCATCTGTTTCGTTGTCCACTCACTCTTTATTTCATTCAATGGCTTTTCTTTAAGATCGTTGACACGATTTATCTGTTTTCTTCGTCAATACAATGCAGGAAACATAGAAAATAGACGGTAACCTAAAATGCTAACACTTATACGAATTATAAATTAAGTGTTTACTGATTTACGCCAACTAATTTGATGGCAAAAACTTAAAACGTAATGATTTTTCGGGTAATAATAAAAAGTGTACTCCAATCCTTTTAACTATATATAATAATAACTACAACAATTATCCATTTCTTCATTTGTTTTGGGAATACAGAATAAACGTACACAGGTTCCATCATACAGACTATAGTGTGGGAGTTAAGCGATAGTGTCGCATTAGAGGAACTGGAATACCTTGGTCCAATTAAGGTTGTGTATGAGATTTTCAAAAATATAAAAATAAAACAATTTTACGCTACACTACACTGTTTTAACGAACTTACTACGCAAGATTTTAGTCCAGAAAACAGCTTTTTTGCCGCCAGCTTAATCAAACGGGGTTTCATTACATGGTACTATAATGAGTTTTTACCGGACACCAACCTGATTATATTTAGCAATGAGTGGTTATAAACAAAAACATAACATCTCTTAGAGGTTATGAGTAGTGATTCTTAGTCCTTTAGTCGGTGGGAATAAATAAGGATTTGTATAGATTTGTTATTGTTAAGAGCTTAGAGTAGCATGGCGTAAAATATCATACGTAATTAATTCGTCCAAAATGTGTTTACCGGACTCGTATGGTAATCCCGTACTCGACTTCGCCTCGCACGGGAACGACCACACTCGTCCGGTAAACACCTATTTTCAGGACTAGTAACGTAATATACTACTGTATTGTAGATAAAAAACGTAACTAAACTAAAAGATAACTAAAATTTATATTACCTTAAAACACAACAAAGTTTAAAAATAATTGAAATAACTCCGTTTTATTTAAGTAACTATCGGCAATTTGTACTATTCTACATTTGAGATTTCATCATTCTTCTTTAATTATAAATACTTATTTTTTTACTTATTTAAATTTGCATTCATTGTCAAGTTTCTTTTGCAAGATTTTGGGATTAATTCCTGAATATATCTCAAAAGTAGTTGTGATTGGACCCCAAGAGTAGTCATTAGATTTTACCTCAGTATGGTCATAAATAAACTAAATATTATAAGTGACTTACCGTCTCTGGACATGCCCAATCGCAGACATTTTTGTAGCCTGCAATATTGACACCTGTTGCGATTGACCCTGTCCACTATACAGTTCTTGTTCCTCGGACACTGATAGTTGACTACAGAAGATTGACTGCGTCGGAAGAACCCTTTGCAGCCCTCACAAGTAATCACCCCATAGTGCACCCCACTGCTCTTGTCCCCACAGACTTTGCAAGGGATTATTTCAATTTGAGCTGAAACAAACGAAACAAAACGATTAGATTTCGCTGAAGTTCAAACGGTATTTGGGTAAAAACATTAGGATTAATACATCGGTTTACAAAAAGTGGAAAAATCTTACCGAGGCTATTTTTTTCAGTTTTTAAAAAGAGTTTATTGATTGGTACGAGTTTTTAGAATATGTTCGATTTGAGTGAATATTTTGATACGGCGATTCAATAATTTTTTAAACTGTTAGATCCTTTTGTGATAAGAGTATGTGCTCGTACTTCTTGTATGAAGAGCTAAATTCAACCGATAAAGTTCCAGGTATGGCTGTGTAGCATCGAAAATTCCAATGGAACTTTGGAGAATTGTGGCGTTGTGCAAGGGTCATTGTTTGGGCCGATACTATTTATTTTGTTGTCGAGGTTCAAACCATGGCTTTTTTATTTGATCCTTGGTGAAAATGGTATTTATCTTGGCAACAAACGAGTATACAAAACATATACTTTAAATATTTCAAGCAGACCAACACAATAATAAACCATAAGTTCAGTAATATAAATTATTAAAATGGATTTCATATACCTAAGCTTCTGTTTCAGCTCCTACTAACAGCATACGAATCATTAGTTATAAGATTTTGAAGTAATCACAGATATACAGTAACCAGAATTGCTCCTACACCAATACAACATTAGTTCATTAAAGGTTTGTGAACGGAGTAAGATTCCTCCAGTAGCAACAACTACAACTGAAATCAAATCTTCTGACATTAGTTGAAACCCTCTGTGACGCGTTTGGAACTCTGAGCAAATAAGATTAAGAGAAAGCGCTTGACCGTTCTAAAGAATCTTTGTTTCGTACTATAAGATGCAAACCCATAAATGGCCGCAGACAACTCAATGCAAGACATGAGTGGTGGCGGGTCGCGCTTGGAAGTTGCACAACACAAGTCGCGGAACTTTCACCAATCCAGCAGCTCAACAGCAACAGCTGGTCGCGTCATGTACATACAGTAGTAGTACTGTAGGACCGTTGATTAAATAAATACGTACCCCCGCTGCAACAAACCTGAAGACTAAGCAAATGTCGCATGAATAAATACCCTCCCTTATTGGATTTTCACTTAAAAATTACCTATTGAAACAGTGCCTCTTAACCATGAGAATAGCATGATCATTTTAAATTTACAGTACTGTATATTTAGAATTTTCTGGATTTTAACCGTACAAGGATACTTTAAGACACAGAAGTAGATTATTTGTTCTTTCGAGATCTACAAAATGGTTTAGAGAGAAATTGAGAAATTCGTTTTTTGAGGGCCACAATGAGCAACTCCAATTTTACACCATAAAATCCCGTTCCCGTGGTCCGATCAGCTGATTTGCGAACTCGTTCGATGATTCACACGGTTGTACCAAATTTAATCGAAATTGCATCGATATTCCTCGAGCTATAGTGCACTATAAATATGAATTTGAACGAATGGTGTTTTTGGTCTCTAATCAAAAAGAAAAAGTAAATTCGTTCCGGGACCATGAGATCTAAGGTGTCTTATTCCCTATATGGGAAATTCAATTGGTTTATTGTGTCACACGAGTCTACTGGCATAAAATACTGCGTTATTTCATACAATAACTGTTTTCTGAAAGAATGACTTACTATAAAACTATAACACCTGTTTTGTTCCTCTCAACTATCCTATAAGGAAAATTTCGCAGTGAAAACTGTATGATATGCGTTCTTTTTGTAGAAAAAATTGACAGCTGATCCATGAAGATGATTGTATTTGAGTATTTAAAGTAAATGATAAATACCTACGTAGGTAAATTTGGAAATTATCGTATTGGTATAGTAATTAGAGCTATTAAACCTGTGGGATTCGCATTATTTATGTGAAATTATTTATAAGTGATTTATTATTTGTGAGATAATAATAGGTTTGGAACCAACCTGATTCAGAAAATAAATTTAAGATAAAGATTGGGGAGGAAAACATAATACGGTAGCTACCCTAACTAATTCAAATGAATGTTGAGTCAGGTAAAATATGGAAACGTATAAAAATATTTTATTTGTATCTATGTTTGGAACAAGATTTTATTTTTGACTTGGAATCAGTTAACTTAACCTTGGAATACGTTCGAAACATAACTTGATATATATATTAGGTTATAAATACAAATAAAGTTTATTAGTTCAAAAACTAGGATGTGTGACACGATTTAATTTCCAATATCCAACAAATATTTCGGGTGTTTCCCAACTTAATAATGTTATGCAAGTTTACAGTAGTTACATTCAATTCAAACTCATCCACGATAGGTTTTCTAGCATATATAAACAATATATTTAAACGTAATGGAAAATAGGTGACTTTAAAATTCAGTGCAGTCGTTCACAGTTTTCCAATCGCAAAACGTTTTTAACTGGATGTTTACAAAAGGGCGTCTTGTTCGAAAACTAGTATCTGTGAGTTTTAACCGTAACATGAAGCTCGTAAATTTATCTGGAAAATTTAAAGCGTAATTCGTACAAAATTTGTTGTGATGGTGAACGCCTTCGAACAACGAATGCAGCTTATACTTCAAACTGCGTTGCGGCAGAGGAAGGAGAAAGGAATATAAGGCGCCGAGTAATCCCATAAAATAATATAATTTCGCGATTCCTGTATAAACCTATACATAAATATTTATTATTTACATAAAAACAACATCATTACATAAAACTTTCTTTGCGAACATAATATGTAGATGGCAATAAATCTATAATCGTCAAGAACTTTGAGGCTTCTGTTAGTATTCTAGTCTGTGCTTCTGTCCATAAACCAGCTGAAATATAATTTACTCTAGCGTAATATTTTATCCGCCTGAACATTTTACAATTAATTTGAAATTCGTACCAGCGCTCTATTACAGCACGGCATTAGCTTGCACAAAACAATGTCATTACTGTAATCTGGTTTGTGTGTCAAGCAAACGGCAAACCAAGCTCAGCTGGGAGAATAATATAGCTAGGACTCTCTACTAAAGATTATATAAATGGTAATATTAATTCTTATCTGTGCATAATTTAATAAACAACGTTGTAGTGAAGGTATTTGAAATTCGTACCCAGAGAGGCAGAACTGCTCAGCGGAGGAATTGCAATGCGGAGGGACACGTTTTAATGCCACTGGTATACCCTAATCTGCTTAGATCTCCCGATTTAAGACTTTTGAAGGGCAGAAGAAAAACAAGCGAATAACCCCAAAATTTTTCACGGTCAGGCGATAAGTAATCTACATTATTTGTGATGAGAGGGGACTGTGCTCGGGAGTTGGGTAAGGTCCCTGTAAGCTACATTATTTGTGAGGACAGTGTTGAGGAGGAGAGATTATTTGCGTTGGGAGGGGACTGTGGTCTAGAGTTAGCTTTGTGATGGTAAAGGACTGTGGTCAGTAGATAAGTAAGCTACATTATTTGTGTTGCTTGAGGACAGTGTTCAGGAGGTGAGTTAGCATTATTTGCGTTGGGAGGGGACTGTGGTCAAGAGTTAGCTTTGTGATGGTAAAGGACTGTGGTCAGGAGTTTTAAAAGTAAGCTACATTATTTGTGTTGCTTGAGGACAGTGTTCAGGAGGAGAGATAGCATTATTTGCGTTGGGAAGGGACTATGGCCCAGAGTTAGCTTTGTGATGGTAAAGGACTGTGGTCAGTAGTTAAGTAAACTAAATTATTTGTTTTGCTTGAGGACAGTGTTCAGGAGGTGAGTTAGCATTATTTGCGTTGGGAGGGGACTGTGGTCTAGAGTTAGCTTTGTGATGATAAAGGACTGTGGTCAGTAGTTAAGTAAGCTACATTATTTGTATAAGAGTGGATTGTGCTCGGGAGTTAAGTAAGGTCACTGTATTTGTGGTGGTAAAGGACTGTGGTCAGGAGTTAAGTAAGCTACATTATTTTGTGTTGCTGGAGGACAGTGTTCAGGAGGTGAGTTAACATTATTTGCGTTGGGAGGGGACTGTGGCCCAGAGTTAGCTTTGTGATGGTAAAGGACTGTGGTCAGTAGTTAAGTAAACTAAATTATTTGTTTTGCTTGAAGACAGTGTTCAGGAGGTGAGTTAGCATCATTTGCGTTGGGAGGGGACTGTGGTCTAAAGTTAGCTTTGTGATGGTAAAGGACTGTGGTCAGTAGTTAAGTAAGCTACATTATTTGTGTTGCTTGAGGACAGTATTCAGGAGGCGAGTTTGCATTATTTGCGTTGGGAGGGACTGTGACCCACAGTTAGCTTTGTGATGGTAAAGAACTGTGGTCAGTAGTTAAGTAAGCTACATTATTTGTGTTCCTTGAGGACAGTGTTCAGGAGGTGAGTTAGCATCATTTGCGTTGGGAGGGGACTGTGGCCCAGAGTTAGCTTTGTGATGGTAAAGGACTGTGGTCAGTAGTTAAGTAAGCTACATTATTTGTGTTGCTTGAGGACAGTGTTCAGGAGGTGAGTTAGCATTATTTGCGTTGGGAGGGACTGTGGTCCAGAGTTAGCTTTGTGATGGTAAAGTACTGCGGTCAGTAGTTAAGTAAGCTACATTATTTGTGTTGCTTGAGGACAGTGTTCAGGAGGTGAGTTAGCATTATTTGCGTTGGGAGGGACTGTGGCCCACAGTTAGCTTTGTGATGATAGAGGACGGTGGTCAGTAGTTAAGTAAGCTACATGTGTTCCTTGAGGACAGTGTTCAGGAGGTGAGTTAGCATTATTTGCGTTGGGAAGGGACTGTGGTCTAGAGTTAGCTTTGTGATGGTAAAGGACTGTGGTCAGTAGTTAAGTAAGCTACATTATTTGTGTTGCTTGAGGACAGTGTTCAGGAGGTGAGTTAGCATTATTTGCGTTGGGAGGGACTGTGGCCCACAGTTAGCTTTGTGATGATAGAGGACGGTGGTCAGTAGTTAAGTAAGCTACATGTGTTCCTTGAGGACAGTGTTCAGGAGGTGAGTTAGCATTATTTGCGATGGGAGGGACTGTGGTCTAGAGTTAGCTTTGTGATGGTAAAGGACTG